TCCAGACACCTGATACTTTGAGAAATAGTTTCATTAACAGATTCATGCTTTTGAGGTAATTGTGCATCTGTCATTGGTGCTGCAGCACAGTTACAAGTTGCCAAACACGTGCTCGCTACATGTAAATCAATTTGACTGAGTCTGACGACTTGGCTCGGGGAAGGTTGAGAATGAGTGGCATGTAAAGGAAAAGGCTGTCCTCTGTGTAGACGAGCACCTAGATTACCTCTAATGTGCATCTTATCCGGCCCCTCGTGAGATTCCTCCTGGAACCACCCCACATAAAAACCCACAAAGAATCTGACACACGTAGGGTTTCATAGGAAATACCTATGTGAGCCGAAAAGAGCCATATGGATGTCTCCTTCATCACAGCCCATATGAAGCTGATTACGAAGTGCCCATCAGCAGGCACCATCAGCAGAAGGAGAGTTACCGCTAAAGCCTGCAAGTATTTCGGAAATCAGCTTCTGTTTTGTTTTTGTTTGTTTCTTCAGTGCTTTACTTCCCATGTCATAGAAGTTCACTCAAGTGTATTTGCCAAAAAGTGTGTTTTGACCTTTAGCTCAAAGGAAAAGCAAGCACTAAGCATGCGTTAGTAAATCTGAGCATGGGTGCTAGCATTAAGCCTCACACATGGGAGTCGATTTTAATGGCTGCTTTGATGTTCAAAGAAACTTGGGGGGGAACTATGAGGGGGTGAAGAAAGTGTGGATTTTCAAGCTGATGAATCATTTGGCAACGGGGGTCAAGAAGGGTAAAAAAATGGATGATGTTGTGCACCTTCCCACCAGTTCAAGATGGTAAATGCACACCCATGAGAGCTACCGGCGTTGAACATAGATTCAGGACATTCAGCTGTAGGATGAAGTTGCTCCAAAAGAAATTCAAATACAGATACAAGTTAGAAATTAAACATAACATTTATCCTGCGTATATTTTTTCCAGTTCTTTAATTTACAAATGAAACCAGCAGAAAGATGAGCTTTGCACTTGTGTTTCAGTACAATGCTAGGACACATGTATCACACAAAGTGCTCTGATAAACAGAGTTATGAGGAAAAGTATCACAGGCACGTCTCTCCAAACAGTCTGTCATGGAGGGCTTTGAGCCGTTAAACCTGGAATATTAAATAGGCCGAAAGGAATGTGAGTGAGATCATGAAAACAGAATACATGAATGATATTGATGCAGTGACTTTGATTTGCATTCTGCTTTTGAGGGCTCACTCACCAAGCTGTCAGCACAGCCCCAAGAGATTCAACCGTTCCAACATCTGTACTGTTGGAGCATTGACAGCCTGCAGCTGAGTGACTTAGTGACTTGAAATTTAAACTGATCACAGAAACAGAGGGTAGTTGTACCTGCCATGCGGCAGGTGGCATGAAGCTCAGTCCAGAGGACGACCAGCAGCACGTACTCAGGGAGGAAAAGGCTGTTTTGTTTTCAGATCTCTGCGGTCTCTGAGAAGGTGAGTTACTGTCATGAATTTTTAATCTATATTTTCACAGCTGAAGCTTTTTGATATTTATGTTATTTGATCTTGCCTGTACGTCGGGGGCATTTCCGTCAGAGTCATATGAGAGCACGACCAAAAAAATGACATGCTTCTGTCAGAATAGGATGTCTTTTTCCACTCGGGGAGAATGAACGACTCCAGTTGCAAAGCCTGTGAGGTATGCAGTGCCGAAAAGATTTTCGAATGAACACAAACAGCGGGTTGAAATTATGTTTCATAATCAATGATGAGGCGCGATGTGTGTTTTTTAAGGGACTCATTTGTTATTATTTAAAATCCACGAGTTTGCAGTAAACTCTCAGTAAACTCCTGCCTGTGTCATTTATAAACTGTTATTCAGTGTAAAAGAGCCATTTAGATCCAGGCTCTTCCAGCAGACTTGCAGTCTCTGGTTTATCATGAGTTGTTTTCAGTTGTGTCTGCTGAGGCCCTGCTTTATTTTATCCTCACAGAACGAGACTGTGAGAGCCCTAACAGGGTCACTCATCACAGTTTGGTAATACATTTTAACACTAGAAGTCCCAGAGTTTGTATCGAGTATCCCCCCAACAGTACTTCACAACTCACGAATCCCTTTTCAGATGTAAATGCCACATTGGAGAACCATTTCACCCCCTTCAGTTTTGGTTTTAGTTCAAGCCTCTCTGTTGAGGAGTGTTTTACCTGAAAGCGGAGCCCAAATAGGCCCAACAGATCGACTCCGAGTTATTGAGACTTCAAGCTTGGCTTGGTTTGGCGTACAAGCTTGGCTGCTACAGACGAGCATGTGTTGTACAAGCCGTGCACAGGGACCAAAGAGAGTCCACCAAAGTTAATTCTGCTACTTGCAAATGAACTTCGTAACATTTTTATGCAAGAAAAGGCAATAAAGGAAGAACACATGAGACAGCATTGTGAGATGAAGAGACTAGGGCTGTTCCTTGTGTGACATAAATGTTACTCAAATACTAAAGGCATACTGTTTGTCATTCTCTAAGATTAAATTTTGAATGACATAAAAAGGCGAGACGAGAGCAATGCCACATTTGTTTGTAATGTGTACTAATGCACATAAACTGACTCTCCCCTCTGATGCTCTGAAAATTGTGTCCTTGGGAACATTTTGTTCTCTTATATATCTTGCAAAACTGTTCTTTTATTACTGTATGATTGACATGATTTAAACTTGATTAACTGCTGAAAGTATTTACTTTGATTTTTTTCTTCAATAGAAAAACAATGTCTTGTTAAAGAAAAAGTTTTTAACCAACACTTTCACATGTTAGTGGGCTGGAAAATCGAATCATAGGAGTCAGCCTGAGAAGTAGTGTATCTAAAATGATGATTATCATCGCAGTGTGGCGTGATGTGGTCCAAAAAATGTGTTGTGCTTAACTGTTGGTGGAAGTCTGGATACAATGAATAAGACTGACAAGTTTTCCAGCCACAAAATTAACTGGAAAGACTGTAAATTTAGTCAGAAATTGATCTAGGAGGTAGGGGTCCTGTTTCCCAATACCAGCTTAATCAAACACAGAAAAAATACTTATTGTATTACTTTCTATTTAGTCTTCTTATGCAAGAACTTTATCCCTTATGCTATGATCATTGAAAGGAGACTTTGACTTGGTAGGTTGTAAATCTCAGTACCATCAACTGTATCTCTTGAGACAAAGTGTTTTCTTATTTATTTAATTGCACAGTTTACTTATTTGTTTTTTATAACTGATAAACTGTGTGCTGGGTTCTAAATATTTTACCATTTTTTCATGGCATACTCATCTTTAATCTGTTTGCCTCAGTTTAAAGAACTATTTTGTGTTTGACTTAATTGTTCAAGCTGCTGTGGAACTGTTTTATATGAAAGTTAAACACTGATGTGCACTAAATATCTGAGACCATACATTTATGGTTGGAAAGCAAACCAAACCAACCACCGAAGTTTGGCTTATAGTGGTATGTCATTTGAGAATCCCTCCGTAAAATAAGCTGGTGAGTAACACAGTCCAAAAAGACGGCCGCGTGCTCAGAGGGTGAATCTGAAGATGCACTAACCCACAGCTGGAACTTTTGAGGGTGAAGAATATGTTGTAGTGTTTCTCATCACAATCTTGCATCATAAATCAGATCTACTCAGCGGTCACAACTCAAATTACTCTAAATGAGTAGTTATCAAACACCATATCAGCGAAAACATCTGGCCGGTGGGAAACATACTTTCTGTGAGAGTGTGAGAATCATTAGGTTCTTATGTCGCTTCCTATCAGCGATGGTGAAATTGCTGTGGTGCTTTAATGAGTCCGAGCTCAAAGATCATGAAAGCAATGATCCAAATTCCAAATTCTTTAAGTGATTTCTAATGATTTGAAACAGCATTTGCATTTTCATCCCTCACAAACTTAAAGCTGGTAATAAGTCTGTGATGTTGGACAAAAATCAATTTGAAAAACGTCACCGAAATCATTTGTTTGTTTTTCTTGGACCAGTGAACTCAGATGAATCCTGTGTGTTTAGTGACAGTGTGGCATGCTTCAAGATGTTTTTCCACATTCCTGAAGCTTCTCCTACAACTTTCACATAGTTTTCATTGACATGTTCACCGTTTTTTCAGTTGATTTGTCACACGCTGGGCCTGTGAAAGTCAACACACCAGGCCTGCCCTTTTTTATTTGCTGGTTATCAAAACTTCACTTTAGCATTAACAAATCCAAACACGCCGATCAAGCGCTCTAAATTGATCTTGATCCATGAAGAACACAATCAAACAATCAGTTTAATTCCCTTTTATCTCACTTCCTGTTAGTGTGTTTGTAGTTACGGATGGCTTCGAGGACTGAACACTTTAGATGAAGATTAAGCATGTCTTTGGACGAAGCATTGCTGAATCTTTTTGCCGTTGAGCCTTCACATCACAGTTTTCACATCACATACATGAGGAATCCATTTCACCAGACAGGTCGACAGGAAACTGTGCTGCAATGGAAAACCACAATAAGAATCATTGTATATTATACAATGAAAAAATTATGTAAAAAAAACATCAGACATCCTGACTCAGAGGACATTGTGTGAGAGTGCGTATCACTGTTATTTACTGCCACAAAAATTGCGACACCCGCACCATTTCTCATGGAGATTTGCGTAAGCTAAATTCAAAACAGCTTGTTCTGATCTGCTTTATTTCCATTACCCCGTGAATTATTTGGCCCCCCGCTGCGGGATTTCCCCCTAAACAAGATACTCTGACTTTTATTATATTTACTGCAAAATCAAGTGTTCTCTTGTGGTTTTATTCTGTAGGTCTCTTAGTGAGCAGAGTGACCAAGCAAGGGTTAATGTGAGGAGCACTTTGGCCCCTCCTCCTGCTGTGGACTGCTGCACTCACATTATTCTCATACACACTCTCCCTGCTGAGGCCAACAGAGGCAGCAAACCAGCTGTAGTTCGCTAAGAGCTGGGTCTTTTCTCCCTCTCCGTGAGCTCCACTGGCCTCATCACTCCATGGGACTCCAGACCTGGCCACCAAGCAAACCATCACTGTCCTCTATGGCTTGCCTTGATGTGGAGACCCCTTCCATCTGCAGGGGTAAATTCAAATCAGGTGCTTCTTCTCTCTATAACTTCCTCTACTTATTTTCTTTTATCCTGATATTCTTGTTGGGTTAACATATTAATGTCCAAGCATCTTTTCAAATATGTGGATCTTTACTCATGCTTTCAGTGGGGAGCTTATAGCAACACACAACTTCACAAGAAGAGCCTTTGTTAAACTTTTGTTATAGCACATTTTGATTCAAGTAGGAAACATCCTAAGTTTTCATTACTGTTTGTTTATGAACAATATTTGTAATGCTGTGTTTTGTTTTCAGTCACATAATACAAGAATGACCTCACTCATTTTTCTGCACACAATGAACTACTTTCAATTGAAGTGCAAGACTTAGATATGCTGCAGATCAAGATTCTGCTCATTATTTGCATATTTGAATCTTCCTTGTTTGCATCCAAAGGCAGCAAATTACTTGGCTAAGATTAGGCCTAAAATGATAAAACGCTAGAGAGCAGAGCTGTTGTGAGTGTTTAGGGTCGGTACTTGATTCTGACAGGAGGCAAATATCTGTTTATCACAGAAAGCTTGTGCTTCCCTCTTTACATGGGTAGATACAATCATTGTGATCATGTCCAATATCTGTTTTTAATTGTTATTAGTATATGAATCAAGCTCAAACCACAATAGTTTAAAACTCTGAACTAAAAAAAGAGTTCAACCTAATATGGCCTTTTCTCATTGAAATGTATGTGAGCATTAACGTTTTCAAGACATGTTTATGTCTAAATGCCCCTTTGCCTCAGAGTTGTAAGAAACGCCCACTCATTTGGAGAGAAACAACTGTTTTCTTTTTGCTTTAGATGTTGCTTTACATTATGATATTCTGATTTTTAAAAAATGAATACAACTAACCAGCACACATGAATGAAGATCTTGACTTACCAAGCTCATGAAGAATTAACAGCTGGATCATCTCTCCTCTCCTGTAAACAGTTAAAACCCGAAGTCAAGTGCTCACCTGAAAACTTAGTCACTGTCATTTTTGTTGGTGTGCGTTAAACATTCATTTTATAAGCCAGCTGTGGTCACTGGAAACTGGTTATGTAATCTTTTTAGAAGATAATGCAAAACATCTTAATTCAAATTAACTTGTTTAATGAAAGTCAACTTTCATTAAACAAGTGTTTTCTAATTATTTGTGCCTTACTCTATCTGTGATTAGAAATGTCTGAATCTTCTCTAAAATATTTGGAGTCTTTGGTATTTATAAGAGTAAAGTCAACATAACTCAGCATCATCGTGTTTCGAGACCAAACTCAGCTTGTCTAGCCAGCACCAGATTTTTTTTTTCTCATGAAATGTTTCATAAAAGAGAAAAAAAAAAGTCAAATAAAATAAAAAAGACTGATGGTGACCTCCAGGGATGATTTGCTGAGAACAACATGAGTCTGAGATTAGAGATTACATCAGTAGACAAAGATTCCTGCAGAGCCCCCTCTCTGTGTTTCTCCATAACCTCTGTTTACTCTTTGCTGGTGAGCAGGAGTACAGAGCCAGTTTGCATCGCGGAAAGGTTAGCCAGGGTTCAGGCTGAGCATAAGATGACACAAAGCGATGAGGAGGACCTCAGGCATGAGCTGTACCCCCATAGTGATGTTCAAATTAAACCCCACATTCTCTCCTGGTGCTGGAAGGCAGCATTTGGTGTTATTGATGTGTAATATGCATTTTTCTTGCTAGTGGCATGTTCTCCAAGTTGCTTTGGATGTAAATGCTGATCGCCTTGTTTTAAAATATATATATATATATGCTCTCCGGGTAGGATCAGACTAACCGTAACCCCCCATGGCCTGAGTTTGTTGTAGTAAACACAGAGGGCGGAGCAGGCACAATATGTGCTCTGCTCTGGAGTTGATGGGCTGTGAGAGTAGACTCGGCCTTCGGCCCTTTGCCTCAGCTCGTGTCGCTCTGCGTTCCCTTGCCCACCAGGCGCAGCCCATGGACATCCCTTTGACTTTACATACAAATAGAGATCCCACCCCCTTAACTAACCCCAAATTTCATGGTTCCCAGGCCTTGTTCTCACAGCTGCCCAGTTTATTTTTGCTCGAGTGAGTCACAGAGGCCTGTTCAGACGTAGTGCATTTCCCAGGAGAGTTTTGCACGTCTGCATTTGTGTGTGAGTGGGAGCTGTTTTCCCCCAAGCCTGTGAGTAAATCTAGCTAAGCTTGCTTTACTTCCCTGCAGTGGGGACGATAAGGGGCTCTTGTACCTCATGCCACGGCCTCATTCGTCACCATCACCTATTGCCTTCTCCTCAAACTCTCTTTTTCTGCTCTGGGCTGTTATTTTCCTAAACCAACATGTCCACGCTCACTTGTGTATAAATGTTTAAAATAGGATCTTACTACAGTTTACATTTTTGGGGAAATAACACGAGGAACATTCAAGCCCTGTATGAGGTGCTCAGATGCAAGGCTCCACTTTTTTTCCCCCTGGAAGACATTCATGCCTTTGATGTTTTACGCTAACATAACTGATCACTGCTCATCCATCCAAAACCAGATTAGGTTTTAACAACAATTTATTAAATGGGCACGAATGACTTGACTGAAACCAGTCATGCTCATTTTTGGGACATTAATCCCTTTTTTTATGTTTGCATTCTGCTGTGTGACCTTTTTCCTCTGAACATTTGTATCCTGATGAGAATGTCCTGGCTTTTGGAGGGGATTTGGCCAGTTGTCCTGTTTCAGGCAAATTGTGGAACTCCTGACAACCTTAGCAAACCACACAGGAAGTGGATACAATGTCTGTGGTGGTGCTCAGAAAAGCAAGCTGATTGAGAAATGATCAATTTCTTTTGCTTTGTTTGAAGTCCTGCAGTTGGTTGTAAATGGCACATGTTTAACTCTGTGTCTCTGCTCTCTCTTAGTCCTCCAGCTCTGTCTGCAGCAGAGGAGAACTCGGGAGCAGCTTGTGGAGCAGGGTATCATGCCTCGTGAGTATTCCTGTTGCAAGAGCATTTATGCATGATCAATGTTTGCAGAGCTTGTTCAAAGGAAAAGCTCACCATGATATGGACTTATTTGTGTATTTGTACAAATTCTTATGGTACCACTGTTTAAATTTGACATTAGTAACAATAATCAGTCATGTCTTTATCAGCTGCTGCTCATCGTGGCTAGTCATGTAGTATGATATTTCAGATACCTCTGAAAACAGATCTGAGGCGTTTTTTGTTTGGTTTTTGGTTTTATGGAAACATTCTACGTTATTTTGATAGATACTTTATCGATCCCAAAGGAAATGACAGAATATATGTTCTTTGTGTTCGTAGAACGTTTATGGTTACCACCTTCCTATCACATTAATTTTTGTCACTAATTAAACCTAATTATGTGCATCTAGACAGGATGAAATGCACAGAAGTATGGGAGGATGGTCAAACTGCAAATTGTCTCTGCTCCCTGTTTTAGCTTTTGATATAAGATACCCAGCTTTAAATAGTGGACCTGCATCATCAGAAACAAGTCAGCAGCTAACAGATAATAATTTTTTTAGAGCTAAAGAGAAAGATGAATTGCTCAGATAAGGATGATTTGCATGTCATATTGCTTCACTGTATAATATTTATGTATAAAGTAACGTCACTCGCTCCATCTGAACACATTCACAATAATGTACGGCTCTGATTGTAAGACATTTATTGTCCACCAGTAGTAAAGCCCTTGAAATTTTTCAACATAATGACAAAAAGATTCTCTGATCTGCAAAGAGTAGTTGATCTTTAACATTGTCCTTTGATGTGGCAGAAGAGGATCAGACACAGTTCCTTAACTCCCTGCTTGGATTTTTTTTATTTAAAAGTAGAGCAAAGAAAGTAGAAGCTTAAACTGACTAAATCCTGCTGACATCTGGAGAGAAGTGCCAGAAAAAGACACATGTCCTCGTCTCCTTCTGCTTTGTCCAGAGAAGCTTCCTGTGAGCAAATATATGTTCTCTGCTCCTTTCTGGCTCCACAAAGCCACACCAGCTAGTTACTGAGCCTGCAGTGGAGGTCTTTCGACCCCGGTTTGCTGCCCAATCAAGCATACCTTGTACACAAACCTTCCAGGACATTCTCTACAGCAGCACTCTGCTGCTCTTATAGACTCATGATAGGTATGCAGTGGACTTAAAGTAATGAGCAGGAATGTTTTGCTTTGCTCCTCTGACACACTCCTTAGAGCCCCCCCCCCAAAAACCTGTGTCATATCAGAGGTGACTGGTTTGTGGACCAGACCTCAACTAAAGCAGGGTGACTTTATTCTGTCTGATCAAAGAGGACTCACTCCACTGAACAATCTCTTTGCTTGAGTCAGTGGAGCCAAAACTTCCTGTTTGACTCCCATGAGCTCCTGCTTATGATTACAACTTTCATGCACATCAGTAGACAGAAAAATACAACAATGTAACTTCTCTTGACTTTGTGGTGATATTTCAATAAAATAAAAGTACAGCAGTTGAAATCTACTTAATTATCTAAATTGATTTATGTAATGAATTGGAAAAAAACTTAAATTCTTTAGTTCGAACCAATATATATTGAAAAGTCCTTAACATTTAGTGAATTCACATTGTTTCTAAGGCCACAACATAAATAAAAACATGATAACTTTTAACTATTTAAAATAGTACAATTTTCTTGTGAGCATTTTGTTTGAGCATATTTCCAATGATGTAATGCCATGCAATGACAAATCAAATTCTCCTTCAACTATGAGATCGGATTAAAGAAATCTGGTTTGATTAATTGAATAAAAAAAACACTGATTTATCTTTCCTCAGCCCTGAAAACACCAGTTACTTTTCATGAGAAGATTCGCAACCTGGAGAGAGCCAGGGTAAGTTTTCTACAGTAATGTCAAGTGTAACCGCCAAATTATGTCCCCAGTATATTTAGACAGATATATTGTTTGTTGTTTTTATAACAGACTGGATCCTTCTTAAAGCACAAACTCTGCAGCAGGCCTGAGCGCTCTGAGCTGGTCCGTTTGCACATCCTTAAGGGTAAACCTACACTGTGTTCTTAACGGGGCGATAATCACTTGACACATGAGATGACTAAAATGCTTACTCATCTATCTAAACATACTACTGCTCATTTAATGGTGTTGTAGTCTCAAAAAGGTTTTTACGGGCAACAGACAGATTGGCTGAGTCTGCTATGAGTCAGAGTGACAAACCAGTGCATATGCTGGCCAGATCGTAGATGAACATCATCTTTGTGTTTATCAGAAACGCAGGCGGAGCCCTCCCTGCAGGCCACACAGATGAAGCTGAAGAGAGCCAGGCTGGCTGATGATCTCAACGAGAGAATCGCCCAGAGGCCTGGACCTATGGAGCTGGTTGAGAAGAGAATCCTGCCTGTTGACTCTGGTGTCAAAGACCCCTTACATGGTACACACTCATCAACTTAACTCACCAACTAGAAACTAACAGTATCAGCAAAAAGATATATTTTCATCCATGTTCAAACAGTCTGATGTTTGAAGCTTGAAGGGAGGTTTGAGCAGATTATTTAATTGGTTTGAGCCATATGTATAGCTATTTAGTAATGCAAGCTAAGTGTTGCAGGGACAAAATGTAAATCATTTTTGAGGCAGTGGTGCCAGAATGCAGTCACATACTTCTAATTTCTTCTAACCCTTATAAATACTGTTAAAAGCTGTTACCTATGCCGGTCCTGCAGGCAGTGAAGCAGACCGATGTAAGACCCCGCACGCCTCCGATGTTTACAACTTTGACGACAGCACTGATGCATTATCACCGCAACATCCGACCAGCCATGAATCTCTGCGCTCCCCTCTGGGCCCCCAACAGGAGTGTGGCGGGACTGAGGCCACCTACACCTGCCCTAGCTTGAACACTTCTTCACAGGTACATCAATGCCTTCGAGTAATGATCCATTTGTTTTACTTAACACCCAAAAGTAAACAATCAAACATGACCTGTTAGAGTTAACAGGCAAATTGGCCCCATTGGTAGTTGAAGAGGTTTAAAAATGAGCCTGTTACATATTTTTTACTTCTTTTTTACGCTGGTGGGGGGCAATATCATTTCGTTTCATAAGTAGTCTTTATCTTCCCTTTGCACGCACTTTGAACAAAGTTTCTTATTTTCCGGAGTGCTTCTCAAACAGTGCTTGGTAATGTTTTTCCAGCTGAGGCGCCTTTGTTTCAGGGAATGATAGTTAACAGCCGTTGCAGCTTTACTGTACTAAATGAGCAGATTATGCGATTCGTGATCTCTGTCTTTGTTTTTCTCAGCACTCCTCAACGCTCATCTCACAGTCTGCATCAGACGGAGTCAACCTTGTTGCCACCATCCATCAGCAGAGCAACCAGCAGGCACATCAACCCAACAGTTCTACAGTGCCCTGCGCTTCATCTGGGCCAGTTCTTGTGAAGGTTGCTTTTGTTTTTTTAATGCATCAACTCTGTCTTGAGTCATTTAACATTTCCTTTAACCTAAAGCAAAAATATTGATTTGTTTTTGCGGTTAATTTAGTTCATATTTGTAATGACACTGACCTCTGGTACGGAACTCTCCGTCTCTTGTGAATTCACAATGTGATTTGTGTCTTTGGTTGTTTCTTTTGGAGTTATTATGAGAGATAAATCTGTTTTTTGTCTTACTGAAAGTCACACTGGTTTAGGGGTGAATGACAAGTCAGCTTTCAGCCAAGTCAAATCCATGTCAAAGGGCAGCACACACTCATAAAGTTATTTTACACATTCAGGGATTTACATTTGTGCCAGCCATTTGTCTTCCAAAAGGGTCAAATACCAGACCGGCCGTCCTCATTCAGACTCCATAAAATCTAAGCCAAAAAATAAAAAACAGGAGTAAGGGCAATAACTCACACATTTATCATAATGGGGTTACACTCAAAGCATAAAATAAACTTTCCCTCCTTTGGAATATGATAGGGGCAAGAATTTGACAAGCTAAAGGTTGCATGCTTGTTTAACTCAGTCAAACCTGATGCCAAGCCATTTTCATGTATACTCCATCCTGAAATTGCAGGTGGTTGAACAATAAGGCTCATATTTCCACTACCCGTTTCCTCATCCTGTCGTTCTCATCGGGTGTCAGAACAATGTTCCACCATAATGCTTGCAGCTATAAAAAGACGGTATCGGTTCCAAGTCTTGCAGTGTTGGCACTGGCAATGCAAACTGTATTTTCCAATAAACTGGACAGAGCTCACAAGCAGGGGTTGAATATCCTCCAGATGGTTATTTTCCGGCTTGACATCCCTTCTTTTCTCTCGTGTGCTCTGCAGCAAAGTTTGGCGAAGTCGCCCGCCGACAAAAGCCGCAGCAAAAAAAGCAAAGAGCCCAAGCCTCGGGTGAAAAAACTGAAGTACCATCAGTACATTCCCCCCGACCAGAAACAAGACGTCAGTGAAGTTCCAATGGACTCGTCTTACGCCCGTCTCCTGCAGCAGCAGCAGCAGTTCCTGCAGCTCCAGATCATCAGCCAGCAACAGCAGCAGTACAGCTACCAGACTGTCTTACCCAGTCCGCTCAAGTACGGCAACAGTCCTCATTTCAAGCTTTATTAATCGCTGACATTTTTTTTCTGATACACATTCTTATGATCAAAGTGTTACCGCTACTTTCTTTCCGAGATTACCGGTCTAATTGCAGCTTTTCCACAAATCAAATTCAGGCGTGCTTAATGCCACAGCTGCTTTCTGTCTCTATTACTTTGTATTTCCTGCCCATGGCTTCCTAAACAGAGGCATCTCAATTTGAAAAATATCTCTACTCCCTTTTTTTTCCTGTCTTGAAAAAAACAGGTCAGGGACTGAGGTACAAACCAGCTGCTCAGCTGTTGTTCAAAAAGCAAACTCTCCGTCTGCCTCAGTGCAGCTCCACCACACTCAGACACATCGCAAGACCGGTCACCTACCAGCCAATCTGGATGAGATGAAGGTAACACACGGCAGCCTGTGAGCAGTTTTGTACGATCGTCACGATTAGTTTTCAAGTTTTGATTTAGCACAAAGCATTTTAAGAGATTATTTAGACTTTTTTTTATCTTTACAGGTGGCTGAGCTGAAAATGGAACTAAAACTCAGATCTTTGCCTGTTTCTGGGACTAAGACAGATTTAATAGAGAGACTAAAGTTGTTTCAGGAGGGAGCTAATTTCAAAAGCGTTGCTTCCATGGATACAGGAGCTTCACAGTCTGAAAACATAAAGTTGAGCCCTCCTGTTTCAATTATAGCTTCCAAAGTGTCCAGTCTGGGGATAGAAGACAATAACATAATAGACTGTCCATCAAAATTAATCTCAAATGCTCCAAATTATGTTGCTCCATGCATCAGCCCCCCACACAGAGCAACACATGAGGAGTGTCCCACAGAGACAAAGTCTTGTGAGAAGGACTCTGAAAGGGACAAGCGTTTGCATGAGAAGGAGCAACAGATTAAGGAGCTTATGAGGAAACTGGAGCAGGAGCAGAAGCTGGTGGAGAAGCTGAAGATGCAACTAGAGGTGGAGAAAAGAGGTCAGCAGGCCGACTCTCATAAGCTAAATCCCCTGGCTGCGACTCACATTAAAGAGGAAAACAGGACCGTTTCGAACTGCTCAATGTCGTGCAGCTCTCGTCATCATCCCGCATTGGTCAAACAGGAAGACCCTACGGATCAGAACCATGTAAAAAGTCCAAATCAGTTCATCGTCAGTCATCAGGCCATCCCATCGCCTGAAACCCTGCAGTCTGCCCAGCCTGGAGTACAGATCCTTCTGCCCACATCCCTTCCTGCCTCAGCAGTCACTGCGGAGCTGCCTGCCAAACGCATCGAATTGCACACGTCCGCTAGCAGCACAGCTCCAAGCCACATCCAGACCTCTGGACAAGTGCCACAGAAAATAGAGGTCTCAGCAGCATTGCAGCAACAGTGCGGCACACAAACCCACAAAATGACAAAGGTAAGAAAACGTGACTGTAATTACGAACTGATTCAGTCCGTCTCCTCATTTGTCATCACCATCACATCAGCAGTGATTTTGAAGTAGGGAAAGATCCCTTGCACAGACCTTTGTGGTGTCAATTGTGTTTGCATCTGGAATCATAATTTGTCTTTTATGTAAAGTAAATACAAAGTAAATTTCCCCCCATAAAATTTGTGCCATGTTCTTTATTGCAATGCGTAATATACCACATTTAACAACCTTTCCATGCTCTATTGGTAATATGCCTAATTTATGGCCACAGTAATAATTTCCCTCAACTGAGTGGTGAAATATTTCCCTACTCGCTTCAAAAGTAGGGAAAACGTGGCTGTGTAGAGCGGGCAGTGGTTGAGGGCTGGCCAAAACACCCTCACTGCCCCTCTGTTGGTCCACCGTTGTGAGCCCAACATACATCCAGAATCGAATGGGAAATTCATGCGTTGAAGTCCTCAGCTTTGCAAACTACACACTCAACACAGAGTATCTTCAGCAGATAAGGACACAAAGCACCTGATCCAAAACAACCTTATTTTCAGTCTCTAGATTCAATATATTCATCTTTGTTTTCCCTCTTCTACTAAAGTGAGTTGCACATTAGGTCTCTTGACATTCAATCATTATTTTTCTGTGTGGGCTGTAAGTAAAATCACCCTTTATTCACTGTCTAATATCCTCACTTTCTCTGCAGACATGGGGTTCAGATGCCAAGGCAGAAAGCTTACTGAACGCATTCCCAGTGAGTGGATGTGCCACAGAAGCCCCCCCTAATCAAGCTGTCCCACAAGGGCCTGGACAAAAAGTAAAAGACAGCCCCAGAGTTTTCTCTTCGGAATCACTATCACCCAGAAGTGTTTACTCACTTGTTTGTCGGGTGTCAGCAACTTTTTAGTGATAGTTTATGCGATATTTCCTGTTTTTATTTATCTTGTTGGATTCTTGTCTTCTCTGTTAAACAGTCTCCCTGTTCCAGCCAGGCCCCTCTGGTTCTGCAGCAGACTAAATTTACGAGCCTGGTGACAAAGGATAAAGACCCGCCCCGCTATGAGGATGCAGTTAAGCAGACACGTGGTGTGCTGGCAGCTCCACAGGTGAAGACTGACCAGAGACAAATGTAAAATCCTTTTTTTAAATGTATTTAATTAAACGCTTCATGTCTTTTCCTTGCAGGGTCCTAATGCATCAAGCCAGCAAATGGATGACCTGTTTGATGTGCTGATTGAGAGTGGTGGTGAGGATTACTGCATTGATTTGGGCGCAAACAACTTTGGAGGATGACGCGCTAATGGTGTTTGTGCCCTTGTTTTGACAGAGATCCCGGCTTTCATCAGGCAGGATCCTCCCAGCCTGGACAAACCTCTCCCTGTGACAGCCAGCGTAACCACCCTTCCCATCAGCACGGCGCTGTCCCGCCCGCCACCCTTGGTTCAGGTGGCCCAGCTGCCCGCCGCACCGGTCAACCCGGCCGACAGCCTGGCAGCACTGACCCCGGACAGCCAGCTGGAAACCCTCTTGGAGGGCGCGCTTGTTTCGGACTCGGAACCGCAGAAACTAAAAGGGATGGAGGAGTTCATTTCACCTGTGGTCACAATGGAGGTGGACCTTGATGAAAACACCCCACCCTCTGCTCTAAACATACAAAACGCCCCGATAGAAAATATGGACTGGCTGGATCTGACCCTGTCCGTGCCAGCAGAAGGCGTTAACCATTTGGACCTGTCAGTGCCAGTGGGCGTCTTCTCCTCTGACTTCCTGGACACTCATGAACTTCATTTAAACTGGGACTGAGTCTCGTGAAGGTGAATCCTTGCGTCTATAAAAGAATATCATTCCAATTTCCATGAGACATTACGAGTTATTGGGCATTTGCGTGTTTCTGTTTCAAGTTTAATAAACCGGCCTGATGACAAACTGTTCATGTAATGTCAGTTTAGTATTGAAACACTCTGATTGTCAATGGAGTCACAATGTGGTAGAATAAGTACGTGCAGGTTGACCTAAAAGTGAAAGCTCCCTCCAAGAATCTCAATTTGTTTCTGTCTTTTTTCTGTTCTTTTTTTTAACATATAATTTATTTCCCTATGTCTTCCAGACACAGTGAATACAAAGCATTGCAGTCATGGTGTCAGGAAAAATCCTGTAAATAGTTTGGGGATGTTAGGTTGTTCACTCCCCCCTTCTTGGCAAGATGATCATTTTCATAACATAACAGATTCTAAACACACATGGCCGTATGTTTGTGGTGTGGATGCAACTTGCGGGCATAAATCAAATGTTCAGCTGAAGATGGAGTGCAGCTTTGATCCAGTTTGAGAGACTCAAAAGCACAAGGCACAGTACCACTGTTCATACCAATCCCAGTTTGTGTTACAGAATTCTCCATAAACATGATTTCATCTCTGAACCCTTTCTGTAAATCTGCAAACATCTGTATGCAATTTTTTGGGGAAACCAATAGTCCTAGGAGCTTAAAGAAGAATACCCTCACCCGCAGTTAATAACAGCTTCTTACAAGAGTCTTCTGTTGTGCATTATTTGATATCATTTACTGGTTTGAAGTCAGGCAGACTGGTTATTGAAGGACTTGCGCTCGTTTTTTATTTGTTTCTTTTTTATTTTGGCAGTTTACATCATAAGCGCAAACATCTCATGATCTCAACATGCAGCATTAGAGATTGACAGCACAACAAACAGCACACAAATAATAAATATCATCTGTTGTGACACACAGCTCAAAATGAAACAACTTCAGATGTCATTGTGTTTCGGCGACATCTGCTGGCTGCGTCTTATTTAGCTTTGGTAAACAACTCTGCACTGCCATGATAAAGTGGTCTCTCTGTGCTGTAGAAGTCCTCAGAGTGCTGAATGTATCACCATTTGTTACATTTTCACATTTCATTTCTGGAAAAGTGCCCACAAAAACCTTCTGAATGTTTAAGGAAAGCCTGAAAAGTTTGGAACTTTTCCATTTTTCCCCCCATATGGGGGCAACGTGCTGGAATCAGAAATGGATTTTCTTTACTATACTAGTATAACTGAACACCAAAGAAATGATAATGCATAGTTTGTATGCTATTTACACAGTGTGTTTGTTACGTTTTATGCTAATATGATACGTTTGTTTGTAAATGCTGAAGCTATTTGCAATTTCATCGGTGGCCTTGAGCATACACATAAAATGCAGACCCACAACATTGTCAATAAAGAAAGAACTACACTGGGCAGTCCTCATTGGTTTTGTTGAACCTTAAAAAACACTATACAACTTGTTTACATGCAGCACAAGTCTTTGGTGACATTTGCATCTATCTTTGTTGGCTCACAGCAGTCCTCAGTCAGTGGTATACAGTACAAAAATAAATGAAAGTTACCAAACTGAGCTTCAGCATAGAATCGCCGCTCAGTTTTGTTACCACCAATAACTGGATGTCTGTTGTTTCTCACTCGGTGCGTCAGTGTTCAACCGCTTGTCTTTCCTCTTCAGAGCTTTTTGACAACTGCGATTGACGTTCGGCACTTCGGACATCTGTGTGTAGTGGATTTGAACGTATCTGTGCAAAAAGGAATGAGGCAGCAGCCGGCCACGCAACTGCAAAAGAAAGAACAGGTGACAGCAAATTAAAATAGGCCTGAAAGTGGCTGCACGCAAAGAAAGGTCCAACAAGCTTTCATTGTTTCAATAGGCAAATAATTCACAACATTTTAGTGTGAGTGGTGAAGCTCATACCCAACCATAGCTGTTACAAAACACATGAGCCAGGTCAGGCTGCTGATAGAAGTAAAAGTCTCTGTCACGACAAACTGGTTGCATTCTGGGCATTGTGTTTTGCTCGACTCTGCTGGAAGTTTCTCCAAATCCAGGTTGACTGAGGGGGCTGCAGGGGGATGATATGTGCATGTTGAGTTCTCTTATCTAAAAAGAGCAATATTGATGACATTCAACAAAGTGCAGAGGGTGAGAAGTTGCAGGAAACGACTCACACCCAGACACACGCATCCCGCTGTTATTAGATGCCTTACTGTTTCATGACAAAAGCAGAAATCCGTACGACTGAAATTGGCTTACCGGGGAAGGAAGGTGGGGGCTCAACATAGAAAACTTTTGTACCAATTTCAAAACCACTATACGCCACCTCCGGATCTGAATCTAAGAAAATCTCAAGCAAAAGGAAAGGAAAATGAGGTTAGAACTTAAACGTGATGATGAGAGTGATGATCTGACTAATGTTTTTTGACCAACCTTTCTTGTTGCTTTGCTCTTTGGCCTTTAAGATGCGCTGATAGTTTCTTTGAAGTTCAGCTTTCTTTTCCTTAAGTTCTCTAAGTTTGCTGTCAATGTAGTAAATTTCTTGCTGATGAGCAGCTAAGTCCTCTGGTAGCAGAAAGTAGAACACAAACTATAGAAACAGGTCATACACAGCCTAAAATGCAACATGTAAATTAGGACATATTATTTATCTGGTCACATTTACTATGGTAATTCATGATTATTTATCACATCAATTGAACTTCTTGAGAGATTATCTTCCAGGTTACCTGTTTCTTCAGATTCTGCACGTTTCCTCAACTCCAGAAATATGCACAAAATCTTCTTCCTTTCTTCAAGTTTTTGCCACCTGGATGAAATAATCTTCAAATCTTCAGATATTGTCTTCAGCTCTCTGTTTGAAGAAGCCATAATGGCAGCTAAAAAACAAAGTTTTGTGTTTTTACACAGTTATTTTTTAGACAAAAAGAGACTATGTTTGACATGTAAAACATTTACAAACACACCTAAATCATTTTACAACAGAAAAAATAATTCTACAGAAAAGTCCCCCAAGCATGCAGCTAAAGTACACCCTGCCTCTATAGCCACCAGACCAAAGGGTTTTTGAAAAGAAATTAAAACTAAAAGAAAAGTGCCCCTAGAATTTGGTGTCAAAGAAAAAAGCACAAGGGCAAGGTAATCATCAAATTTTCTCATAAATGAAACACATGAACAGAAGAAATATCAAACATTTCTTACCATTTCGCAACCTCGTACAATCATAAAATTTAAGTTAACTTCATCCATGAATAATTAGCTTAATTAAATTGTGAAAAGAATCCATCAAAGAAAAAGAAAAGACTCAATGACCAAACCTTTTCAGCAGCTGCCGTATCCTTCACACCTCACATTAATTTACGCTAAACAAGGAAGCAGTGTTTATGTCTATCAGGAAATATTCAAATCATTGCCTTCCAACAAACTCTTTTTTTAGGAGCAGCAACAGAGGTGGCACAAACACACTGACACGCACAAATGAAACATGAAAGCTTACATATATCTTCAAATTTGTGATTTTAATCTTTTTTTTTTTAATGTGCAACACAAAAAACATGCACACACGCAGTAAATAGTACATGGGAAAAATGTACTTTTTTTTGTTTTGTCTTTTTAAATAAAGAGTTTGGATGCCAGCTGGGTAGAAAATGTTTTTAGAAAGATCCTTGTTCTCAGGAAACATTCATAAGGAATAAGGAATCTCAAGTAATTTCAAGTCATTGGCACATTCTTTTGAAGTTTGAGTTTTTTTTGGTGATGTGTCTTTGTCACTTCTTCCTGAGTCTCTTAACGAACGTCACTTCATCTCTGTTCCTGATACCATAGCTGTAAGACAGGGAAAAGTAATAAGTATAAGTAATAAATGTAAAACTGAGACACAAAGTACCGATTTATGACACTTACTCTTTGAGCCTGGTCGAGTCATCTTCAAGCTTCTCCCCCTGAAACACTAGATGAAATGTTCTCCAAACATATCTCCTAAATAGTAATATAAAAAAAACAGCAATGTGATCTTTTTCTGTATCCTCTTTTACATTCCTGTGTATGTCTGAATGTTCTTACCAGCTGACATGTTTTACTCCACCTTCTCGTTGCTGTTTTAGCTCCATGAATCTACGAATGGCCTTCTTTAGATCAAGGACAGTGGCATTTTGCACCACCACTATGGCTTAAGGAGAATGAGATATTTTAAGCAGTGACATGACCAACAGCATGCAAAATTGAGAATGAAAACAAATCACAGGAAGAGACAAAAACAAAGTAACACTTACGCATAATTTCTCCATCTGCCTTTAAAACCTTCACAGTCATTGCTTGGCCATACTCCAAAGCTATCTGTGAATTCACCTCTTCCAAAGTCACCTGAAGAAAATGATCCAGGTTGAGAAAGCTTCCAGTTTATTTACAGTCTCGTTCTAAGTCATTCTGAACATCAGTTAGGCTGCACTGCACTGACACGACACCTGGATTGGCAGATCGCAGAGCAAAGGGTCCTGCACGAGTTGAGCCAGGCCCTCCTCGAAAATATCCAGGATCTCGGAGTGTGGAAGAGATTCTTCGTCTTCTTCCTCTTCTTCTGGAGCTATCTCGTGAGCGAGGTTCTCCTTTTCCACCTCCAGATCCTGCAAAGACCGCTCTCCTCCACCTCCAGCGGAGCCTGGGCTCTGCTGCTCCTCCATCAATAGTTACAACAATTATTCAGCAAACATTTAGTGTATATAAACTGCCGACAAGCGACATGGAAACAAATAAAAGCAAGCTTAATTCAACCAGTCTTAGGTTTGACAAAACACAGCTGGACATATATTTTAACATGAAACTCTCACGAAGCGGGATGGAATGCTGGTCGGTGCAGCATGAATAATACGCTGGCTGAATACAGTGCCTATATATAAAAGGTTCCACGTGAGGATAGCAAAACATAACGTGCCTTCATCTTTTATGCCACTTATATCAGACTGGGTGTCCTATAAGAACTGGCAACTATTATGTAGTATTTTATTACGAAAATACTATTTTAGCAGAAAATATTCTAAGTCCTTGTTTCCCTTCGAGTTGTAAAAATTGTGACACCGGTTTTCAGCTTCTGCTCTTCCGCTGGTCACAACTCACCGAACTGTCGCCAGTTGATGATTTATTTAAACACCGTAATTGAAAGAATTTAAAAGCAGTTTTCTGTTTGGTAAGATGTTACTGTTTTGTCCAACCTGTGGGAATGTTTTAATAGTCGAAGAAGGACAGAAGTGCATGAGATTCGCGTGTAACACTTGTCCCTACGTACACAACATCACGAGAAAGGCGAGTTTCGGTTAACTCTAAATTCCTAGAGACGTACACGTTTCTTCTGGTGTCACACGTGTATAGTTTCTTTTAATTTAAAAAGCGTGTTTTGCCTTCCTGCAGGTGAATTATCGGAAATACCCAAAGTTAAAAGAGGTGGATGACGTGCTTGGTGGGGCAGCAGCATGGGAAAACGTGGATTCAACTCCAGGTGAGTGACTTTAAACCAAATGAACATCCGTAGCTTTCTGTTTAGGTCCACCTCATTCATTCGTAGCAGTTTAAATATATTTCTAAAAATAAATACATAAAAAGTCAACTCCAAAATTATTCCTTTCTGCTTTAACACTGTGTAAGTTTCCACAGAAGCACTATGAGAACTATAGGAAGAACTATAAGAAACCAAAATTGTAACATTAGAATTGCTCTTTTAAAAAACTCTGCCATTGTACCCATCTGCATCACATTTGTCTGTAGAAATTTTATGTGTCATGTTTTAGGATTACGCAAGTAACTCATTCCAAACTCTTCAAGTGCACTTATGTTTGGGTTTATGAAGTTTGTTTTGATTGAAGCTAAATTGTTCTCAGCAGTCTCAGCTATTTAAACAAAAACCGCATACAAGCTGCACATGTTTTGCAAGTAAGCCAAGCAGCTTTCAAATTGACATTTTGCACTCTCACTGTTTACAGAAAAATGCCCCAAATGTGAGCATCCTCGAGCATATTTCATGCAGATCCAGACCAGATCAGCCGATGAGCCAATGACGACTTTCTACAAATGCTGCAACGCCCAGTGTGGACATCGGTGGAGAGATTAAATTGTTGCACTTGAAGTTACGGGAAAAGCTTAAATTATTTCCAAAATCCTTTTTGTTTATAGGCACGTACACAGGATGTTTTCCTCCATTTTTCATATTTATTTACAGCTTTCACTTTCCAAATAACATTAAAACAAGCTTCCTTCAGGATTTTTATTGATAAAATAGTACCTGTATACAACAGTCAAATAAGTTGTTGTACACAGTTGTACCTATCACAGACATTTAGACCAATGCAGACCAGCAGTATCCACATCAATAAAAATTGAATGCAATCCTTCAACTCAAAATGTATTTTTCTTGCACAGATATTTCAGCCTCAGAAAGAAAAGGAGGGGGGGGGGGGGTGAGGGTGGAAACAAAAGTCAAATGCACATTGGGTTAGGGAGCCAGAGTCTGTGAGGATAAGTTGTTCTGATGTGAAGCTCATGCAGACACCTGGTAAGCATCAGTGGCATGCAGAGGTGAAACGGTGACGCTCCACTGTTAAGAGCCGTCAATTAAATGAATCACGTCAATGAAGTCATTCCTTTATTTGAAGCCTATCCTTCACAGATGGCCCAGTACCAGTGAGTATATATCTATTTGTCACCTAGAGTACATCTGAGCAATGCGAGTAGTCTAAAATGGCTAATGGCAAGTTAGAAGGTAACATTACGTGATGATGGCTCCATCCCTACTTTTATACTCTAAATGAGAAGTAAGAATATAATCTACTCTAGAGAGGAGCATCCTGACACGCAAGACTCAGTCAACATCGTTGAGATGCCATGCAGTTTCTTTAGTGATAAAAAATCTGTCTATCAAATCTACTTTGAGTCCACTATATCTCAAATAAGTGCAAGTATGGTCTATAAGCACAAGTAGTAGCTTAAATAATCGATTGCTTTTACCCGTGAGCTATCGTTTTCCTCTGATTAAGGACTAGAGGATGACATATTTTTAATGAATGCCAAAGGTCAAAATGTGGATTTCAACATAAAGTGCAAATGTTAACTTTATTGTCTAAATGAATCACATCTAGGATAGGGTGCATTCACAGCTAAACTGTAGGTCACTTAACATTCTGTGAAAAATGAGCGCAGAAGAATCAAAGATCTAGCATGTAACATATATGCATCTTATAAATGGGTAGTTAACTAATATGTCAGAAGTAATTTGATAAAAAGGAAAGAAAAGCTATTTAAGAGAGCAAAATGACCAAACACAAAAATATTCACAGTTCTCAGCATCAACTTCTCAAAATAAAGGATAAAATATCTTCAATTTTAAACAAAAAAATAATAAAGCAAATCTATGAATACACATACTTCTGAGCAGAATTCCCAAATGAATTCAAATAAAGTGACCGGTTTCACAGTTCTCCCTAAATGAGGCTCAGTTTTTTTGTTTTCTTTAATTCACATGCATAAAATCATAAGATCAGCCCAAGGCAAACAATCCTGTTTGTCTACCTGCAGCCGTCTGCATTTAGATTTGTTAGTGTCCTTCATTCTCTTCAGTTCAGTCAGATTTGTACATTTCAAATCCGAGTTTATACATTACAGAAGTATGCAGAAAGTTATATACATTAACATCCTGTGCACTAATGAGAAAACTGCACTCACAATGTAAGAGGGCAGCACAACACTGTTCAAAGATGAGTGGTGGGGCTGCAGGGGGAGCTATGAGTTTATGAGTATGTACATGGCTCAGTGGTATCCAGCTGTCCGTGGTTAGCATATACGTTTGTATGTGTAAATATAGCCCTTACAGTTTGGGCAAGTATGTGTCACATCCTTGAGGTCATCGATCAGGCAGGGAATCAAGCAGCAGCCCAGATCACACCTGTGAACAACAGAAAGATGTGGGAAAAGGTCACCGTTTGCTCACAAAGGAAGACGGAGAAATAAAGGTGTTCTGATGAACATGAACATTTGGGGTCAGATAAATAACATTTGAGAGTAAAGACACTTCTTGCATATAAAAACAAAGAGCGGTTTTTACTGATGAGTGTCTTCAGCCTTAAGGGAGCACCGATGGTAAAACAAACATGCATCAATATTCAGTACTCTCTAAATCCCAACATGGGCTCGCTGCCCTGGCGTCCATCTACTTGACATGTCTGAGTAATGTAGCTATGCAAGCAACAATGGCTCCAAAAATCTCTTCAACAGCGGATGAAACATCTGGCAGAAATCAGAGTTCCAAGAAAAATCCAAATGGATAATGAGACACTGCAGATTAGACAGCAGAGTGCTGGTGTGTGTAGTCAGCTTTATTTGACAACAAATCATCCCACTAAACACTGTGATGGCCCGAATAAAGGCCATAAAACTTTTTAGAAATACACGAGCGCAGCAGAAATTATTTTTAGCTGAAAATGGTTCAGATTTGTTCATTGTAACACATTATTCTCAGAATCTGGCCTTTTCATTTCCCTGATGGTTTTAGGACAGAATAAGCATCTGTAATGGCCACATTTTTGTTTTCAAAGAGGAGTCCCGATAACTGAGTCACTCAAAAGCAAAAGAACTGACACTAAAATTTCCATAAAACTGGTGAAAAAGGGCATCGATATTCACACAAATACCTAGCAGGTGAGAGGACAAGGCATCTATCCATCAAAGTGACAACAATGACGAGATGGGTCCAAAGTTTACATGGATTGTTTGCAGCCAGCCTAGTAAGACTCAGTCCTTTAGGTGATTTCATGACATTTTGCTATGTAAAAAGCTGATGAGCTAGTTCCACATTACATCATCTGGAACAGCTCTTACTGCAGTTACAAAATAGGGGTGAATAACTATGTCACATAACCTCACAGAGCCTCAGCCTGCACATACGTTTTCAAACTAGTTTCAAACAGTTACCTCACAAATCTGGCCAGTTAGAATTCATCCCCTCTAAGTGAACTGCATCTGGTCACACGCGTGGAGCAGATGTAACGCATTTCGGAGAAACCCAACAAATCCCGATAAGTCCAATTACAACAAAGCTTCCCAAAGTTCTTTACCAAACATGAACATAACTGTAAACAGTGTCTGAATGACTGAATGTGGTAATTTAGAAAGAGTCTTGAAGCATTAAGTAACACATGACCGGAAAGGGTTGGGGTTAGATTATTCCGTCTCTGCAGAGAAGGCTTGGCCTTAATCACTAATTACTGAAGAATTCAGTCTGATTATGATATCATGATTATGTTTTACCGTGTGTTTTGCCACGGTAAAACACACTTTTTGTTCCTGACAGAATATATCTGTCATAGTTTAAATGAACCAAAGAATGGTAATGAATGTCTGTGTTATGTTTTTGACAGGCCAGAGGAACCCACACTGATCAGATGTCTAGATGTGGGTGTTAATGGTTACTGAGAAATGGGTCACTGCAACTCTAAAAATAATTCTGTGAAGTCCTATCTTTTACCAACAGAGCGGTCCTTTGAACATAAAGTGAGAGTTGTAGCTCCTGTTGATGACTGAGTAACAGTGTGCATTTCAGCTGGGCCGTCCCAGGTAAAAGTTAGTAATTTAAAGCCTGAAAATGGCATTAGGTCTGGATATCCCCAATACAATCAAATTCAGAAAGTTGCAATTAAATTTAAATTCTGATGGATTTAATTTCAATTTGAATTAAGTACTAATTCCACAACAGTAATTGCAGATATTTATTTTTACCTGAAGACATGACACTGCTGCTTCGTTTGAAAGAGCGTGACTCGTTCCTCAGTTTCCAAAGACTATTCATGCAAAACTAGTTTCACTGGTCAGGTCTAACCTGTACTGCACTTACCCTACAAAGAAGCAGAAGAGACAGAAGAGTGTGTTCATGAGGCCGACATCGTGGGAGATGCGGGTGACGATTGCCTGCTGGCAGTGTGGACACACAGTCTGCACCGGTGAAGTCTGGAACATCTCCCCCTGTAGTACTGTCACCGTGGTGGCTGCACCGGGGGGAGCCAGGACGGTCGCTGTGTGACCCCCCATGTGGACAAAGTGACTGGGACCGGGACCCATCTGTCCTGGCATTGGGTAAGCAAAGTGACCAGGTGGTGGTGGGTAAGGGCCACCTGCAAATAGAGAATTCAAGAATCGAAGCATAAACAATAAATCCATAATAGGTTGACCTAAAAGAAAAGGCAGAGGTTATATTTTTCTCTAAATAGAAACTACTATTACTTTTTCTAAAAGGAGGAAACAGAACATGTCATTAACCAATCATGTGCTGCGCTCTGTGTATGCAGTGCTGTTTGTAGGCAGGCTGTAGCACCTTGAATTGGAGGGGGCATGGGCATGGGCATGGGTCCTTCTCCAGGAACATGTGGGGGTAGAAATCCAGGCTGGGGGCCCTCATAGGGTGGCGGACCATAATCTGGAGGTAGAGGCTGTCCCTGTGGAGGAGCTGTTCTTACAGTTTCTAAAAAGGACAGCACACCAAGGCAAAAATAAAAACACTGAAGACCTCCCCACACAAGTAAAAGTCAAAACATTATGGTTTCAATTAAATATCTTCACATTTCAGTCGTACATTATACTGTAAATGTCATTGTGACAGAGAGAAGAGAGAACATTTTGTTTTATTATTTACTTTTGTTGAAAGAGCATACCCAAAAATCATGAAAGTTAATTTCTTAAACACTCAAGAACTGTAAACTGAGTCAAATATGTACTTCCTGTTAAACAGACTCCCCGCACAGAATTAAACTTTGAGTCAGAACCATTACCCTCAGTACTCATTAATATTCACTACAGTGCAGCAGCTTTGGCTTTATTACCAGGTTGTCCATTCTTCTCCTCAATGAGGGGGGCACTGGGACCTCCAGGGTATGGAGGGGGAGGGTCACTGGACATTCTGGCTGGATGGCTGGGTTGACAGATTGGACACGTGAGCACCGATTACCACTTTATAGGTCTGCGTTCACTCTGTGGAATAAAACATGCATACTTTGAGTTACTTAGCTAATTGCTTGGTAACGTAACTTTAATGGATTGCTTACATAGCCTACATTTGTCTGTCTATAATCAGAGACGCTAATGAGAAGTCAGCCTAACTGCTAATAGCTCTTTAGACAAATATCGCAAGTTTGACAGCAACCAGCTTTAATCAGAGAAAACATTTGAGTGGTAAGATTGTTTTCTGTTGCCCTTTTATACTGTATTGCCTGGCATCACCATGTAAAATAAAACCTCAGCTGTGAGGGAAGCAGAAAGCACTCCTTAATAATGCATAGAGGCTTCCAGCAAAGGTATTTGAGAAAATAAACAAGGATATCTGAGAGTTTGTTATGACAACACAGCGAAAGAAGGTAAAGTACAATATTATTAACGTGTGGCATAAAAAGCAAATAGATTTCCTGTCCAGATAAATGTTTGTGAAATCAAGCACAACAAAAAGTATGCAATATGTGTGTGTGTGCAATGTATTTTGAGGTCCGAACATGATACATTGATGTCCAATTTAAGCATATTTTTAATATAGATATAAGGCGTTTTATTACCATACTGTAGAACTTGTATAACACCATTAAAACAAGTTTATAACTATGCAGCATCGTGTGATCAACAATGCTGCACACAAACACAAAAACTGATTAAAATGTGCTATCTTTACCTGTTATTAGAGTGAAAAGAAAGTTTCAAGTTGCAGGCATGTTTAGAAAATCCACCACAAACCGTAATATGGCTCAAATGTACAGCCATCACATGCCAGTGGTTACTGGATGAGGTAAAAATACATCTTTAAAGAACCACACTTTAAAGCCAATAATGACCCCTTTTTAAGCAGAAACCTCATACATGAACAAGGTGAAGTTAAAGGAGAATAAATGTTAGGCTTAGTGTTGATGACATAAACAGAAGTTTGATGCGGAGACTTTCTGTTTGTATGTTAACTACCAGGATTTCTAATCCTGTTGCAGATAATCCTGGTCTCCAACCTACTTGCAGAACTATGCATAACGGTGTTACATAATATACCTGAACAGAAGTCAGTGTTGGTTTTCATATAATTCCGTGAAATTATTATTTTTCAAAAGCACTGTTTATCAAATTAACACTGGTCAGGCTAACCTATAGGGAACGCGTAATGACTAAACAGTCGCTCATAGTAGCAAACCGATGGGTTCAACACATTACTCAGCTCATGCTATTCCCTAATGACGTTATACCTGAAATATGACTATTAGCAAGTTCTTTTGCTCAGCTAAACAGACAGTTTGAGGACAACTGTCTATTAGACCGCAGCCTAAAGCAAGCTGTCGTTAGCTAACGGGCTAGCTAGCTAGCTAGCGTCGCCATTCTTGATTGAGAAACAACAGATCAAAGATGAGGAGAGAAACCTGAACCTAAAGTGAAAGACGCTCAGGAGAATTGTCCGTAAAGAGGTGCTTCCATCCGTGACTGCAGCGAAGCAGTGTCCCGAAGAGTTCAAGCAAAATTACCTGAATCTAGGAGAAAATGCCACCAGCAGGCGAAGTTGTTTGACGTTAGCTGCTGAGACGCTCCTGAGGAGAGTCAACATCCGCTGAGGCGGATTTACACTGACGTCATTAATCATGACATAAATCGATAGTTTGAAGATAACCAGCCAACACTTAAAAATTCAGCCGTGGTACAACCCTATATTTAACTTAACATACACACGAACTACAAAATACTACAGGGCACATAATATGGAGCTAAAATGACAACAGCTGGATAAAAAAAAAAAACCCAGATCCTTATTTGTTAAAAAGTGGGCAAATTATATTGAAAACTGTTATCCTTTTGATTATATTGTGAATGACGTCATTGCTCTGAAATTCATTTAGGTTCATGATTTATTTTGGTAAAGCGTATCACTTTTGCATAGTGTTAGCATTTTCTACACGCTGCTAGAAGATGATAGACTTCAAGAGGCATATGATGAGGTACGTTTATTAAAGAATACGTTTCCCTCTTGTGGTTGAAATGAGTCGAGGTGTTGATTCAAGCCATATTAGAGGGATGTGTTAAAAAAGAAAATGCACATTCTTCTTCTTCTTTTTCTTAATATTATTATTATTATTATTATTACTGTTAGTAGTGGTAGTAGTGCTAATATTAAGTTTGTTTTATATAGTTAGAATCTATGTTTTATTTGATCAGTAATCAAACCCAGATTATTATTATTATCATTGTTATTGTTATATTTGTGTAATTTAGTATATATTAACATGTTGAGATGAGTAACTGCTGTAGTTTTAGAGCACACGATTTATATTTGCATCTTTATGCAGTTAATATACTATATATATGTATATATATAATTAACAGAATGTTTTACTTTAGTATTTATTGTAACTGAATATGATAAATACATTTTGTTTTTACTGGAACATCTTAATATTAGTTCAGCAGGCTGAGGGGGAAATGGGGATTCATCAACTACTTGATGTTTGTTTACTTTTACATAGTCCACTGCAGTTTCAACCACGTGCATTCTATTGAGCACCTCGCCCGGTCTGGGCTAGCATGAGGGCTAGACACCGCGCACTCCACCGCCTGGCGCTTTTAATAAAACGAGCACACTGAATTTTTGGACAAGCTTGGCAACACAGCCAATCAGGTCGACTCCTTCTCCTTCTAGCAAAGGTCTGGCAAAACAACAGCTCGACCTCAATTCCCAGCCGTTGCCATTGCCCGTTCGACGACAAACCAAGCGTGAACATGTTTAATTAGCCAAGGGTTTTCTTTCTGTGGATGTCGTATTTGTTAGGGCCTAGGTCTAGGCTAAAGTCAGAGCTGATCTGAGCTACTGACGCGCCATTAGCTGCTTGCTAGCTGTAGCTTGGGAAAGATGGGGTCCATCCTGAGTCGCAGAATCGCTGGTGTTGAGGACATCGACATCCAGGCCAATTCGGCATACAGATTTCCCCCTAAGTCTGGTAGGTAATTGATAGAGACGCCAGCTGAAGACAATTTTCTCATAATTACAGAATAAAACTCTTGTTACCGAAAATGTATTCTCTCTATAGCATGTATACATATCGATCGATATATACATATACGTCATATAAAACATTATCAACTGAAGATGGACTACCAATGTTTCAAACTTGTAATTGCACTAAAATGTTGTTGTTTTAACCAAGAGCTCACTTGTTCGTCTTGTATCGGACACCGCCCCTGCCAGCTATGTTAAATTGAAACTACAAAGCTCGTAAATACTTTGTTACAGTGTCATGATCCTCGTAGCTGTAACGACTGACTTTATCATAAATGAACAGACTTCAACATGACAAAAGACAAGTTGCAAGAACTTAGGGACTGAAGATGTTGGCATCGCCCAGCTACAAGTGGCAGTCATCTTTCAAAACAAAGACATGTAGCTAACTATTCTGTGTTTTTTTATGGTGGTTCAGATCAGGGTTTTTTCCCCCATCAAAATTAGAACAGAGTTGGTTTTTACAGAGATTGGTTTGTTTGACGTTTACATAAACAGAATGTACTTTTACTGATCTGTATATTTTGAATCTAAAAAGGTGGAAAATAAAACTGTAACATGTAAGATTCTGCACCCCTCTCTCTGCAATGACCTTCTTATAATATATGAGCCCACCTTATTGTGCTAGAAAGAAATGTCTCCATGTTGAATTGCCTTTTTTCTTTTCTCTCTAGGTAATTATTTTGCAAGCCATTTCTTCATGGGAGGAGAGAAATTTGACACACCACATCCAGAGGGATACCTCTTTGGGGAAAACATGGACCTGAATTTCCTTGGAAATAGGCCAGTGCAGGTAAAAAGCTGGTGTTTCTTTTTGTTTATTTAATTTAGTAGATTTATGTAGTTCCATACAGATACATCTTTAACAGTATACATTAACAGTGTCAATAAACCATAGAAAATCAAATGACATGTCCTTCGTATTGCCGTCATTTCATCAGTTCCCTTATGTGACCCCTGCGCCCCATGAGCCGGTGAAAACCTTGAGGAGTTTGGTCAACATCAGAAAGGACTCTTTGCGTTTAGTCAGGTACAAATAACTACCGTAGATGCTATGACGACACAGTGATTTTCAAGGAAGAGGAATTCTACCAATGCTTGTCAAACAACTTGATTCCAGGTATAAAGATGACTCTGACACATCAGTGGAGGAGGGTGGAAAACCAAAGGTTCAGTACGGAGTGGAGTTCACCTTCGACGCTGATGCTCGAGTAGCCATCACCCTCTACTGCCAGGCGTTTGAGGAGTTCTCCAATGGCATGGCCGTGTAAGAATTTACTGCCATGTTTTTTAACATTATCAGACTCTAACCCAGCACTTTGTTCATTAAAAATTTATGTGAATTAAAGCAGCCAGAATCACATCCACATGTCTGGGAGTAGATTTTCTCCCATCACACATGGATCTTGACATAACATCTTCATATTCAGTGTGAAACGTTGCGTCACAAACAATTACACCCGAGTTTATGGCTGGTAAGATGCCAGCCTCAGAGTACAAAGTCTAGAATAGATACAATGGATCCCTGGCAACGAGCAGTCACCATGGATACGGCAGATAAGACTTGGAAGAAGATGAATGCAATAAGTCTGTTCTGATGTTCTGTTTTAAGATGAAACTTTGAGATCAGATATCGCCACCGCTGTGTTGTGTTCTCAATTTTCTCTCCTTTTATGTTGTTTTATTAAATGTAAAGTTTCTATTTTGAATTAACTTGCCACAAAATCATCTTCGTTTCAACTTTGTTTTAACACAACAGATTTTACTTCTTAAGTGAAACAGTGTTTTTCAGCTCAGACATTTGTGTGTGCAGGTACAGTCCAAAGGATCCATCTTTGGTTTCTGAAACCGTGCATTACAAGCGGGGTGTGAGCCAGCAGTTTTCCATGCCGTCTTTCAAAATAGATTTCTGCGAGTGGAAAGAAGAGGATGTAAGTTTAGAGTTTGATACCAGACACAAAAGCAGAATGCAAGCAGTCATCAGTAAATCAAAAGAAACATTTGCATAATTTCTTTTAAAGCTGAACTATGACCTGGACCGAGGCGTGTTTCCCATGGTGATCCAGGCTGTGGTTGATGAAGGGGACGGTAAGAGCTGCACAGCAGTCATAACAGCACATCCATCCATCACTCCTCCCTCTGGCTCTCACTGAGTGCAGACGTGCTTCTATCTGCTCCTCCCCCGCCTCCTTTGCCTGTCCCCTATCTTTGTCCTGTCATATCTCTGAGCCTCTCTCTGCATTTCGCTCCTAAATCCTAAAACCTCAACCATGGATTTGGTCGACTGGTCTCTAAATGGCATTGACAAGATCTTTTCTACCCAAAGACAAAGTGCAGGGGCGGCATCCTGTCCGGCCGGGACTCACCCTGCTGGTTATGCAATGGATCCCTGGAAGAGCTGGGGGGTTTTATGCCTCTCTATTCTTTCTGTGGAGGACATTGAAGACCTATACATATTTGGATTCATGATAAGTGGGTTTCTGCTGTTGGGAGTTGGCGGATACCTGATTTATGGGAAAATTCAGAAGCTGGCGGCGGCTGTTGGCAGGCTGTCCTTGGAGTTGTTGCTCCAAGACGCCAACATTCAAACTGTTTACGAGTTGAATCGCAAACTGGGGACGATGTCTGACAGAATGGAGCTTATGGCCACCGCTATGGAGAAGTTGGAGACTCGGATTGGGGGTAACTAATGCAATTCGGCTGATTTAGAACCATTGTGAGACCTGCTGGAGATTTAAGGAAGACAAAACATTCAATCTCTCTTATCTCAATCTGGTCTCTGCCAGAGCGGCCTTGGAGCTGGAGCTACAGATGGATGTCTGTCCCTTCACACACCCCACCCCCCCACCCTCACATACATATTCACAAATACAGAATTTCCCTAAATGGGACTCATGAACTATAAAGTATTGAATCCCACACAGTGGGTAGCACAATGCTATAGTGCTAATGTTTTTTTGTTTTTTTCTCTCCAGATTGTCTGGGACATGCTCATGTCCTTTTGGCAGCCTTCGAAAGAGTATGTACCTTTTTAAAAGAAAAACAACAGAGATTTGTTTGAAGCTTTTATTGGTGCTAAATCGTGTCTCTTCTGTGTCTCCAGCACGTAGATGGCAGTTTTTCCGTCAAGCCACTGAAACAGAAGCAAATCGTACGTTTTGGAATGCTCTTTTTTTCAGTACCACCTTACTGTTTTGTACTCAGAAAGATAAAGAAGTTAAAATCAGAATGTAGTCTACAACTTTTTTTTCATTCCAGTCTGAGTAGTTTATCTTATGTAGTGTAAAGCAGCAGTTCTGTCCCTCTAATGTATGGATTGAAGGCAAAACATCTTTTTGTCTTAGAAATTTTGGAAGATACAAGCAAATCTCACATCAGTAACCAGATTAAATATATTTGGTTTACTTCAGTTTTCTTTTACCTTGAAAATAAAATTGCAAACAGACAATTCACATCTTTTTGATCATGAAGGCTTTGTAGTCGATGATGTTCGTAATATTTCTTTTGTCTTTTTTTTAACAGGTTGATCGTGTGAGCTACCTCCTACAGGAGATCTATGGCATTGAGAACAAAAACAACCAAGAAACCAAGGTTCCTGTGGAAATATGTGTCTACAGATACTAAGATACTGTGAAAGGTCAGCTTTTTATTGAATTTTCCCATTTGTTTTCTTTCTAGCCTTCTGATGACGAGAACAGCGACAACAGCAATGAGTGTGTTGTCTGTTTGTCTGACCTTCGAGACACACTCATCCTGCCTTGTCGACATCTGTGTCTCTGTAACTCCTGCGCCGACACTCTGCGTTACCAGGCCAACAACTGTCCCATCTGCAGGCTGCGTAGGAACAGTTTTTGTTTTTCTTTGTTTGAACGCAGTTTCTGTAAAGCTGCCTGCTGAATTTCTATGATCAGTGTGCTGACTTGTAAATTGCTTTGTACCAACCAGCCTTCAGAGCCTTACTGCAGATAAGAGCTGTGAGGAAAAAGCCTGGAGCTCTGTCTCCCGTGTCCTTCAGTCCTGTTCTGGCACAGACGATGGACCACGATGAGCACTCAGTAAGTGTCACCTTCTGTTCTCAAAGTTAAAACAGAAAGCCTCGCAGCCCAGTCATAAAGCCCCTCAAATCATTGCCTCTAACTCTTTGCAGAGCTCGGACTCGGTTCCTCCTGGTTTTGAACCCATCTCCCTGCTGGAGGCTCTGAACGGTCTGCGGTCAGTGTCTCCCGCCATCCCATCTGCTCCCCTGTATGATGAAATCAACTTCTCGGGGGGTCTGGGGGGTGAAAGCCGACAGCTGAGCTCTCCAGAGCATTTAAGTGACGGGAGTCTGCAGAAAGGCAAAGTCAGCAAGTCACCTGACAGGTAATCTACATTAGCATAGAATGTTCACATGTCCATACACATTTGTACAGAGAAGAAAACCGGGTCACTGATTGGTCTGCTGGCAGTTTTACATCTTTACATCTACACTCTGTGCTGCAGATCATCTTTCACTAAAGGACGTTTGATTATAAAACTGTCAATGGACTTAAATTATTTTCTGAATGAAAAATGATTTAATTCGGGCCTCATCTTCCCTCCAGCACCCTCAGATCGCCGTCCTCTCCCATCCAGGAGGAGGATGAAGAGAAGCTCTCTGAGATGTCAGATGCTCAGCCCCACACACTTCTCTCCAACAGCCCCGCCCCCACTGACGTAAGCCGCTGCATGGCTGCTGGACTTCTTCACTTCGGCTCGGCCGCTGACTAAAAGTATTTGTTTATATTCTCTTCCAGGCAACAGCAACCGAGGACGTGGCGGAATCTCTCTCTCCGGATGACGGTGAGTTTTCTCATTCAGCTGTTTGCGAGCAGACGGTCAGTCTTGTGTTTGACATTGTGTTTGACATCTCCTGGGTGATCCAGAGGACAGGATCCATTCAGGAGGAGACATCCTGCAGGACTGCAGCAGTGAACACTGCAGCTTGACCAAAACAGAGAGCGACCCAGCTGGCGACCTGTCTCTGCCCGGTGAGAAATCTTTTTACAGGAACATTAAGCGAATACTCTGAAAATCTTGCGTACAGGAAAGGAAGTTGGACTCCTAAGGTGCATGTAATTTGTTTTGGGGAGCAACCGCCACAGTGAGCAGGACTTTTACAATGAATACTAAAGGCAAAAATTGCTCTTTCTGTTACTTTTTTCTCTTATTATATGTTACCACTCTGATTCCCAAATTTCAGTGTCTTTTATCTTCAATCAAACCTTTAAGGCTGTGATTATTCAGGCTTTGCCTCTAACCTGTGTGCTCCTGCCTCTGTTTGTTTTCTAACACTCCTTCTCCGTCCCATACCGCCCTGTCTCTCTTTACTGCCCCACGTTTTACAGCTCTAGGTCCTGATTCCTGCTCTATTGGTATGGAGGAGTAACTTTGGTATGTAAGCTTTCCTGTCTGCTCTGCTTCTGTATGTATGGGTGCTACTTCTCCCTCTGAACGTTGTTCTCCATGAGCACAGCATACAAAAAAAACCCTCCAGCAGTGAGTTTTCAGGTTTAAGCAAGTTTCAAATAGCTGTCAGGTCAAACTGTTAATGACTAAACAATTGATCTAGCTTCTGCGGCCTTAGTTGGACAGGAAAGTTTTGAACTTTGTTACTTCCTCCTCCTCAGGGTCATCCGAGTCAACAGAAAGCCTGAAAAGTCAGAGCACAAACTGCTCCAGCCAGCCTCTCCTTTGTCCCCGGAGCAGCCTTCATATGGAAGACGAACACCTCAGCCCCTGATTCTGACCCAGCTTTGATTTACAAAGATCATGCAGTCCCTTGATCATTTCACACACTTCTGCCCCCCCCCCCCATCTCCAAAAAAACAAATATTTTTATGTGTGACAAAGTATGGGGGAGGGCCCATCAACCTCTCGCAATTACAGAAAGAAAAAAAGATTCCAGCCCCGAAAACTCTCATATAGTGTCCATGTTTGTGTCCATAATGTAGATTCCAGAGATATTTCACTACCTGCCATGGTGGTGCTTTTAAGCACACTTACTTAAAATTAACTGTCTCAATTTCTGTACACTAAAATCGGAGGACTTTACAAATGCAGTTTGTGTTTAGATATTGTGTTCATTTGTGCTTAATGACTATAAGGCTGATTTGGTTTATCAACAGCATTTTTTGGAAGTCATTACTGATATATCTGTGTCCATTTGAGAGGTTTTTGCACTCTGGCAAAATAATTTATTATCCATTCCTTTTTAACTCAATATGACACTTTTATTTTAACTTCTCTACCATCTTGGACATAGGTTGCCCGTTTTGTCATTTCAAATGTTGGTATCTATGTATGATAACTACTAGAATCTTGCGTAGTTACTTCCAAAAATGTATACTTGGTTATTACATAGTAAAGTTCTGGTGTTGAAGTAATGAAACCAGATTCAGTTAACATGCGCATTATTTAAGACTTTGATAATCAATAAGAGCTACTTATTCACATCCTCGCAGCTGAACTCAAAGACAGCTAAAGCCAGGAACCAGCCTAGACGCTTCACCTACATGTAAGCCGATGCAGCGTGGCACAGTAAGCGTGCTTGTCATTGATGTGGCTGATCTCCGTACAGTCTTTTTATTGTGGCAACGCCCGTGTTCGCTTACGATGTAGCCGCCGAAAAAAAAAAAGGGGGGGGGTCATGTGTTTGTGAGGCTGCAGCAGCTTCCCCAAGTCCTGTATGTGTAGCACCATATAGATCTATGTGCCTTGAATTAATGGCTGCCTGCTTGTTGCAATGGACATTAGTGTTCTTAAAAATTCTACAATATACAGCCGTTTCAGCCCATAGACAGGATTTATGATGTACAGAGCTCTCTGTTCCCATTGCGAGCGTCATGTTTCTGGATAAAGTATGTTGAGCAATATTAAGTTGAACTGTTTATTTACCTTGTCCTGAATTTTCAATTATGCATTTAATATTAGTATCTTTGCTCAAGTGAAATTCTTTATGTTTTCCTGGAAAGAACACACCCAAAGCAACTGGTGCAAACTTTTCATTTTAAAAATTGGGCCTGCTTTTGCATGTACATTTGTAGAGGCTTTGATGCTTTTACCTAAAGTACCGTGTTTTTTTTTGTTCGTTTGTCTTTGTTCTCTTTTCTGTGCCATCTCAACTTGACACTGTGCCTTCCTGTTCTGACCACTATTGACCTGGTATCCAGGATAACCCTGCAGTCGGTGGTCTTGGCTCTCTGATTCTCTCTGTCTCTCTTAGTGTGTATAGCAGCATGTGTATAACAATAAAGAACAAATATTCATTACCTCAAATACCATCCTTCTTTTCTGAGCTACTGCTGTCATTTTTCCTAAAATATGCAGACAAGACACGGTCATCTGTGCATGCTTACAAATGCCAGTTCCCTGAGTGCAGTTGCTATTTAGGTCCCCTTATCCTGAAACATCAGCTAAACAATTATTCCTACAAAGGATATACCCTTTAAGATTATTTCAAATAAACATCAGCTAATTTAAAATTACATATACTGTGTGTGATTATTATTATAATAAAACGCTGCATTCAATGGAAGTAAGTTAGGCACAAAATGCTTTTTGTGTAACGTAGTGCTGCACGGCGGTTGGTTGGTTCCTACTGCCTTCAACAGTTGTATTTTCAAGTCGGACATATTTAAAGGTAACACAAAATACAGTGATTTAGATCCTGTAATATCATAAACATCTACACGTAGACGCCGCGTTGAGACATTAGCCAGACTGAAAAATCAGGCTATAGAAACGTATATGCAAACATATTGGCGACATGCAGCGATACGCCGACAGACACCAACAGCCCAGTTTGGGTTGCGCAATCAGAGGTTCAGCTCGGCTCCTTGCTGCCGCACATCACGTTTCAGCCCGTATTTCAACAGAAAATGTGCAATTTCAGCGATTTTGACAATTAAAATTATCGCAATTAGTCATACATAAAGATCGGCGGACAAATAATAATGTCATCGTATGTTTTGTCTTGTGAGGATGACCGCACGTCCCATAAATATATATACACAGCTATATAATTGCAGTCTCTGTGGCTGTGCAAGTTGAAAACCTTGGAAAAGAATAATTTTTCTCAGATTATTACGTACATTGGCACTCAGCATCCCCTACCGGTAGCCCCCTACCGGACCCCGGCACCGGTAGCCTGGTATCCCGGTAGCTCCGTGCCGCCGCCCCCCCCCCTAAATCTTTAAGATATTTGGTTGAATCTGCTTTAGTTTAGATTCTCATTGGTTTGTTTTTAGTCATGTGACTTGTTTTTAGTCATGTGACAAAAACAAGGAAGTGGGCGGGCTACCGCGCTACCGCGGTAAAATACGAAAAACGGAAAACCGGGAATACCGGGAAAACCGGGGAATATCGGGGAAAATGGCCACCGGGGGAGGGGGGCCGGGGCTCCCCGAAGGGGAGACCCGGACCCCCGACCCCGGTTCGATATCACTGTCGGAGTAGCACCGCACCGAACCCCGGTATCGCGGGAGCCCTAGGACGCAGTAGCCCGGTAGCCCCGCCTCCGGCCCCCGGTAGTCCGGTTGCCCGGTAGCGCGGTAGCCCGGTAGCCCCCTCTCCGGCTCCTTACCTTGTTCGTCCGTTGCAGTGAGAGTCCGCCATCTTGCCATTTGAGCAAATTTAAATCACTCTGGAATTTGGAAAAAAAAAAAATCTGGGGTTTTCAAAACATTTAGGGAAACTCCAGATGGGAAAACAAGTAAAAGTTGCAACGTACATACATACATACATACATACATACTGAACACCTGCAATCCATCCAGCTGCCAATGGGCAAGAATCAGGATACACCCTAAACTAGTCAGCAGTCAACGGAGACAAACAACTTAAACACTTGTACTGACAGGTAAATTCCCGTCGGGATGGCATCAGCTTTGGTTTTAAACCAGGAGCTGTGTTACTGTGGGGTGAAAAACACAGTAAGACACAGTCACGGTGAAACTTATTAAGATGCTTGTTGGTACAATATATAAAAAGGTGTAAGATAAAGTAACACGTAATAATTACTATACTATTACTGTTACCAAAACAAATACATTCTTTCAAGAAGAGAGCAAATGCTAAATTAAGTATTGTAAATGCATTTTTTTCTATACACGTGTGTACACGTAATCACTGAGATGCTGAGATTAGTCTGTGCTGCTTTTAGTACACAGAAAGGTCAATGTGAGGCTAAACTGCATTCACAAAACCAGGTCTGATCAACTCACGTGGTCAGTGTTGAAAACATAGTCTGCAGCCAGATAGTGTTTATTACAGTGCTCATCTTTTATTGGTTAAAAACATTTTTTAGAGGATGGGATTATTTTGTCTAAAATTTGAACCTCCCAGACCTCGTAGACGGACAGAATTCCAGACCTGAAAAGGTCATTGGATCTCAGGACGACTGAGCTTGACTCGTACATCAAGTGACCCAAATTCACAGCCTCTCAAATCTGTGAAATGGCCAGGTCCATTCATCCCTGTATCCCAGGCAAACAAAAGCAGAGGTAGAACAATGATCCTTAGAATATTTCTGTTGAGGTTTCATATCTTATGACCATGTTAGAAATGATTATTGCTCAGGCTGAAGCAAAATGACAGTGGAGTGTGTTACGGTTGATAGAAAACAATAACATTAATTTATTTTGATTAAACGAAAACAATTGTGACAAAAAAAAAACATAAAAAAATAAGTATTGAGGCTGCAGAAATACAGTTTACAAAAAAAAGAATTTTCTACTTTAGCTTGTAACTACAGTGTAAGTATAAAGAGTTTGGGATTATACATCTTTATAAATAACTCTTACTTTGAGTGAATCTATTGTGCCCCTTTGAGATTGCACTAAGCTTGGTTGACTGTATGTGTAAACAGGTTCACCCCAGGTCAGTCCAAGCACGTTCCTTCTCACTTAATTAGACTGGTCCAAATCTCTTTAAGGCTTCACATCATCCCAACAACAATCCACACAAATCTCCTTCCTCACTATGTGTGGTTAAATTAGTCCACATAACCTTGATTTGAAAAAACGTGTATCACCCCATCCAGTCACATGATGGCACACGGCTGAGTAGGCATGCATACAGCATGTGCCAGGATTTCGTGCATTATTTAAAACCTTTCAAAAATGGCATCAAACTTCAAGACAGCCTGTTATTGGTAAAAAAAATAAAAAAAAATAAATTACATTGGTTAAAGAAAAAAAAAACAACATAAAAGAGACATACACTTGACATACGCAAATCGCATACTATTTTTATGTGGAAAATTCATTTTGTAACTACTTATGTAGCTACGTTTGTGAAATGGGTCTCTAAATAAATGCTTCAGCAACTTAGCTATTGTTTATATGGAATTTTTCGTAAAAAATCTGAAGCATATACATAAATAATGCTCATATGAAAATGCTCCAAAAATAAAAGGTCTAGCACTTAAAATCAGGGGATTCAAGGACTTTGGAGACACGTGTACAGACAGTTATCCTGCTTTGAGACGACCACTTTTCATTATGAGATCACTTGGAAAGAACAGGTAGGAGGAGACAGCAAGGGTGGCATGAAGGTCACCGTCTTTCAAAAGTGAGTTAGAGTCCGGACGGAGCAGTGAGCTTAGCAGAAGTTTAAGATATCGGCTTTCATTTTATGTTACTGCCATTTCAGTTTACCACCCAATAACACCTAGGAAAGGAGAAGGCAAATAACAATCTGGATTCTCTGTAAGTTCTGGTATTAAGTTATCATGACAAAACAGGTCAGTGGCTCACCTTTCCTCAAGCCCTTCTTCATGAAGACGCCGGTCAGAGTGGTCAGCCCACGGCAACAGAGACGGCATACTCTCCCCGCCAGCGAGTTCAGAAACCTCACCGTACAGGATGCCATCAGTGTGTTTGAAATTGAGAGAGAAGGTAAGCCTCATTTTTATTACTCACTAAGAGGAACTGATATCGGTTAAATCGGCATGTCTTAATTAGAAGTGACCTTTTACATATAGTGTAGCTTTTATCTGTGAAATTGAGAAAGGTATAAGCTTGTAAAATCATAAAGGTTCAAATATCAATATTGGATCTATAATTTAGGATTTTAAACTTGAGAAAAGACATGTCTTATATATTTTTTCTTCAACCATTTCCTCAGTAATAATCGACCAAAATGATTGCTCCCCAGCATTTGTCTCTGTGTCTGGAGAGTGTCCACTTACTCTGGATGAAGTGCTTAATTTCCTGGGTCAGTGCCCTGAGCTGTCCCTGGGTTGGTTTGAAGAGGGGCAGCTGGTGGCTTTCATCATTGGCTCAGGCTGGGATAAGGAGAGGCTTTCACAGGTATGAAAACTACCCAAAATGACATAATAAAAAGCCCTGCCAATTATGCTTGTTAAACTTAAATATCTTTCCTGTTTTTTTTTTCCTTCCTCCTCCAGGAGGCCATGACTCAACACGTTTCCGACAGCCCCAGCGTACACATCCACGTGCTGTCTGTGCATCGCCACTGTCGACAGCAGGGCAAAGGCTCCATCCTCTTGTGGCGCTACTTGCAATACTTGCGCTGTGTGCCGGGTCTCCGGCGAGCTCTGCTGATCTGCGAGGACTTCCTGGTGCCATTCTACGTCAAGGCTGGCTTCAAGGAGAAAGGAGCGTCAGAGATCTCTATATCCAACATGCAATTCCGAGAGATGGAGTACACGGTCGGTGGGCAGGCGTACGCCCGCCGGAACAGCGGCTGCTAACCTACTCCCTCCTCCTGCCACTCACTCACCTCTAAAATGGACTCAGGGGCAGAAAAGATAAAGAAAATATAGCAGATTGATGCAAAAAAAGGCCTGTATGCATCATCGGCCTGGGTTCAGCATCTTAACGTTAGTGTCTTCCTTGACTGAGCATGGAGCAAAGTCTGTGGGAGGACAGAGGGGACTAAGAGGGAATTCACCTCTCCGAACACCAAAATGACCAACTTCTTGTTTGCAGTGAATTTATGGCTTATCAGACATCAGATCGTACTTTGTGTTTTCAGTAGCACATCAGCATTAAGCTTAATATTATATTTAATATCATTTATACTGTAGATCGTTTTGAAAACGGAATCAGTCAGTAGAAATGTTTCAGAAACCACTTAATTCAAACATCTGTACTCCAAACAAAGAAAACCTTTCAAAAGACATTAGAGGACCTCCTCACTGATCATGTAGCCATTCAGAGTTGAATGATCAATTACATTGTGAGTTACCAATAACTGAAGTGTTTCTCTTTGTTAATTCATTTCAATAAACTTAAGCAGGTATTTGTTGACAATCAAGAAAAGACGCAGACAATTTTACTTAGTTGATGTTTTTTTTACTGTTTTGAGTTACATGTGTGGAGACAGGTAGCTAAAACACTACCATGTTCAAAATAATAATCACTTCTTGAGAAGCAATAAACAAACAAAAGGAAACATTCTAGTGCTCAGCATAATGTAACAAAAATATGGCAGTAGTTGGTACATTTATCAACAAGGCACCAAAGGTATTGATATTTTTGTCCCTGCGTTTGTATGAGGTTGCCTGAATAATAATAAAAACCATTTCTGGATTGTGAATGTATAAAATAATCCTTCTCTCTGCATCAGAGCTGACATCTGTAATTCCTGCTTCTCGTGTAAAGGGAAACCTGTTACTTTGATACGTTTCTGAAGTGCCATAGCTTTGTTTCACTGGACAGTGAAAGAGGGACAATGACTGTGAACAGGGAAACAGTGAGGGAAATCCTCGTGATCGGGGGTATAGGTATTCATAATAACAGAGTAAAAGAGCACAACCATATTCTTTTAGTTAACAGATGGGGAGACTGCCCCATAACCAGTCCAAACCATTGCCCTGATGCCTTCCAACTATGGTCACACTTTAATGGAGGTGAGCGTTGAGGTCATACTTCTCGCAGAATTTGTCTGTGAAAGGGATGCAAGTAAGAAGTTCACACCAGTCGCACTTGATTGGGTAGACGTAAAAGAGCACCACAAGGCCTGAAAAGAGACCCACAAACACCAGCAGGAAGACAATAATCTGACAACGTTTGCGATACAGGTCCATTCGGCCGAAGCTGATGTAGGGAAGGAAGGCGAAGGACAGGAAGAAGCCGGAGATGAAGCCACAAATGTGGGCAAAATTGTCTATCCAGGGCAACAGCCCAAAGGCAAAGAGGAAGAGCACCACACACAGCAGCTTGGTAAAGGCCCTCCAGGGCTGGGCCAGGATCTGCCAGCTCTGAAACAGCTCCACGAATAGACAGGCCAGGATCCCAAACTGAGAGCCTGCTGGACCGACCTGATGAAGGGCAGCAGAGAAAGAAACACAAGGTTGACAAAACCTCACAAAATGTTTTGAACAAAGAATCTCAAATGAGTCTAGGCCACATGTCGCATTTTGTGGCGAGTGCGTGCATTAGGGGATCACCTCTGCTCTGTAGGGCAGGAAGATGGCCGAGGCCAAGTTGCCCGTGATGCCACTGAGGATGTAAATGATAGAAATCCGCAGCCAGCCGGCCAGTTTCTCCAGGTCTCTCAGTATGGTCATCTGGAATGCCACCGACACCAGGCAGTGAAGGATCCTGGGAGAGCAGACGTAAATGAAATGGTTTGTGGGTGACAAACGCGTGTATGAGTGTAAACGTGAGTGCAGAGCAGCATGTGCTGAGACGCTAATCCCTCGGAGAGGGAGAGGCGACCAGCAAAGTAGGAATGACTTTGCTCAACATTAAAATCGGTCTATCTCACCAGAGCTTAATGAGTTCATGTAGTGAGGGCACTTTGTTTAATTACCCAGGAGGGGAGACACCGAGCAACGGGAAGATGAAGCACTACTGCTCTTAACTGTGAGGTCGGCTCTTTGTACTGATTGACAGCTTTAAAACGCAGCAGCGTAGAGCTGTCTGATACCGCACGGATGGTCTCAGGCTGCACGTGAACGTGACGGGTTAGAGCGTGTGGACATTTGGAGGACAGCTGGAGCAACTTGAGCTGAGCATATTAAAGGATGGCATCTTCTTCTCTCATCGGAAACTGTTGCCATTTTTCTTTAAACTAATGTTGTTGTTTGTCTTTTTTGCCAGTGCGTTAAATTTTTACAAGTATGCAGAGAAAGCCAGTGTCAGTCTCCTTCTATGTTCCAAATACATATTTCCCAGTGAACCTGAATTCAATTCTGATGTTGTGGTATTTTCATTGCCCGCAAACTTTTATTAACACAGTCACATAGAGTCAGAAAAAGACTCACCCAGCATGCAGGAAAAGGGAGAGCCAGAGCCTGTAAAACTGATCTGGAATCTCGGGGTTAAGGAAAGGCAATAGTCCACAGACGTCATCCATGCAGTGTACCTGAAGAAGGAGAAAACACAGCAAACTAAGTCACACGGAAAAACATGACACAAGCTGTTTGAACCATCAGATATCAGTAATTAAACACATATTGATGCACTTCATGGACGGAAACGTTTGCTAAATAAACAGGCATCTCTCCATCAGTGATGACAGAAAGGAAAGAGTGCCGAAAAAATACAATCATGAAACAGATTAAACTGGAAATGAGCAAAAACAAATAAATACTCTGGAATCAGATCCCCTCTCGATATGTGAAGAGCAAAACCGAGGTTGCTTATCTTTAACTTGCAATGTGTGTCTGGTGCAGAGCTGCTTACTTGAGAGCAAAGTGTGGCCTCCTCATGAAAGTAGCCTTTCATGAAGTCACAATATTCCCGGGATGTGATTTCACACCTTGAAGAAAATAAGTGGTGGTAAGTATGTGACCTGTACGGTGTGGATGTTCATCAGTTGATGAGCTCTTCTCACCTTCCTTTGGTTCCAATGCAGCAGGGTCGGCCTGTAATGGTGCAGTCTATATGAGGCAGATTGGTATGGTTCCCTGTGTTATACCTGGTACATACCTAAAGGAAAGAGAAGAACCATTACTAATAATATGAGACCCTTACCTGTCCATACACTAAACCTATCAGTACCCTCAGAAACACCCCAGTACAGTGACAGGTGATATTTACCATCCCATGCTTCCTTTTTCGCCATGTTGGAAGAAGATTTTTTTGATAATTTTGAGACAGAAATGAAGAAACATAAACTGTCAAAATGTATAAGGGAGCCACAGAAGACATTTTTGAAACCTGGCTAAACCACAGACAAGCATTTAATTTTCGATGTAACACAAGTGTAATGTGTGAATTGTTTGCATTCCCATTTGTTTTGAGCTCCTTTTAACAAATCAAAGCCATTTAGTATTTTCATACGTGCAGAGATCAATGTCAGCATGTGTGAAAGATCCCACTTTTAAGGTATTCTCATCTCTAATTTACTAAATATAAATGTCACAGTGTAAAAACAGTGATTAAAATTACTCACTGGCCACTTGGTGATGTCATCAGGCCATTCGTGGGGTGATACTGAGGCAGGCTCCAGGCATATTCTGTAAGCAAAATGAAGTAAAACAACAGACCAACAAAAAGTTTGACCAAAAAACCCAAATATGATATGGGTGGGATAAGGAAAGCTTTGAACTTGAGAAAAAGTTGTGTTTTACCTGGGATCTTGGTGGCACACTGAGCCATACTCCCGGTCTTTACCGTTTAACTGGGGAGTGCTGGAATGCTTTGGCCACTTCACCCAATCAGCTAGAGTACTCTACGAGAAAACACACGCAGATGATCGTAACCGCCCACCACATCATTTCATAGCAGACTCAGAAAGATAAGGGAAAATCTAATAACTGTGGGAGTTTACACACCGAGCATTCCTCCTCTGAGGTTTGAACACAGCCAGAGCGATCGTTCCGCACACAGCAGGCGGAGTTGCGTTCAATAGCTCTCTTGTCCCTGATAAGATCATGCACCTGCTTGTCTTGTCGCATGCATGGAGAATATTTGGCCCCCAAGTGGATCAAGGCCTCCTACAAAAACAGATGGATGAAAGGTCATTATTAGCTGTGGTTTTTTAAATATGTTAAACGTGCTATAAAATACAGAAGAGAAAAAGTGAAAGGCGCCTACTGAGCTAGGTCCGATCCAGAAGTTCTCCTGCTGCACAAACTTGACATTTTCATACACGCCCTTGTTTCTTAAAACCTGCATCAGACACAATACAATGAATGATAAAAGGAGTGATGATAATGTTTGCTTAAAAAAATGTGCTGATTACATCAGAGCCCAGACTCACAGAATCAACAGTTTCATGTTGGGAAAAGCCTACTGGTGCAATGCCATAGATGCATACAGCCAAGATAGTGATGAGCAAATGTACAACGGTAATCCAGTATGTAAAAAAAGGCCTGAAACAGACAGAAGATAATTTCATAAAACGTCTATTAGCGTCATTAAATGAGTGCTCATTGGAGAGATCTGAGGGGAGGAGGAGTACCTGCGGTCATCCATGTCCTCTATCTGTCTCTTGACATAACTGTCGATGCGCTTGCGGTAGGTGCGGTTGGTCAGCTTTCCTACCATGCCCAGCCCGTACGGCCTCTTCTCGCGGGCAAATAGCTTCTTGACAGGTACAACGATGCGCTGCCCGCGCCGCTGTCCATTAACGCTCACCACCTCCTGACGCAGGGGCACCTTTGGCGGTCCTGGAGTTCCCTCTTTGGCTTTCCGCCACCCTCTCTCCAGAGGCCTGGAGGACGCAACATAGGAGGCAAAAGATCAGCCTAATAGAGAGTAAGAACCAAGGAATAAAACAACGATGGCTCACAGGTATAGATATATATTACATTTATTTTAATGGTCAGATAATGGTCAGATAATTCATCACCCACAAATGTGCAAAGGTATGACACAAGACAGAATTAATTATAATTTAGTCATATTTTTTAGCTGTAAAAAAAATGTTTTTTTAAGATTCTCCTGTTTTTTTAGTGCCGGCACCGTTTTTGTTCTCAAAACTCACAACTAGTTTGACGTTCTGTGCACTTCTAACAAGGTTCAGTCGTAATTATGTTTCCCCAATCATGCCAGCACAGCTTGACTGACTAACAGTGACAATAACTCACAGCATGAGGTGACTTCTCTCCAGCTCTGTCTTATCTAGGGCACTGCCTGTCAACTCCGTCTCATCTTTATTGCTGCTGGGCTCCGCTTCTTTGAATTCTGCCTCAGATGGTGATTCAAACACCTCATCTGCGTATGTAGACAACTCCTCATGCAACAGCAGATCCTTAAGGAAGCACAGCGGTAAGGAAACAGTGACTAGAGGTGCAATGATGAATCATTTGTGGAATTATACTTTTTGCAAAGAATGTGCATTGCATGGGAACGACAGCATACTCTGGCAAAGAAGGATGTGTCCAGTTCATCTGGAAAGTCAACGACATCTTCCTCCATGAAGCTGGCAGGGGTGAAGCTTCGTCTTTGAGCCCGTTTTAGAGTGCTTTCACGTAAAGAGCGTCCCTGAAAGACACATCCAAACATTTATACTCACGATTACAGCTGGATCGTCTCTGTATTAAGAGGCGGCCACCGACAATGTATGAAGAAAATATACACTTTCACCATGAACCAACACAGGTTACAGGTTGTTTGGTTTGGTGTTATTTGTATTTGTATAGAAAGGAAAGGGAAAACACTTTTGTACCAATAACACGCATTTCAATTTAATTAAAAGTTAATCAGTCTGGTGGATCTTAACCCGCTCACTCACCTTGACCAGCGCTGCGGCGGCCCTGAAGCTCATCTTCGCCACAGACTCCCTCTTCCGTCTGCGAGGCAGCCGGTTCAGACCTGAGCGGGAGCTAGTGAAGGAGCAAAGTGAGGCGGCTCCAGGGGTGATGGGGGTTTGAGGCACACTATAGCCATCTACTTCCTCCACCATTCGAAAGGCTCTTCCACGGGCCAGCGGGTCAACGATCTAGGAACAGGCAAGTTTCAATTTTAGATTTGATTAGTTAAGACATGAGATGGAAGAGAGGATTTGTTCAAGTGGGAAGGATCAAAAAATTGAGTTAAAAATACACCATCCACATCTGTCACATAATATTTATTCACGTAAAGAAAAAGAATGTAAAAATCATTCAAATATCTTCTCAATAGACCGTCCACATCTGTCACATGATATTTATTTACATAAAGAACATTTAGCAGCTATGCAAATCTATTTCCGCTTTACCTTTTGCATCCCATGTTGTGAGGAGTGGACATAGAGAGGAGGTGGGGTCTCAGTGCTGGTCAGAGAGATGTTGTCCTGGCTGGGCAGATCCATCTCGCGGATCACCTGAGGTTTCAGTTTCCCATAGCGCAGGCTGCAGTGTCGCAGGCTTTTTCTCTGCCATTTCTGGGTGGCGTCACCGTCCTTGCTGACCCCGAACCAGTCAGCCGTTCCCCTGACAACGCAAACCTGAACTTTTAAACCTAATTCTTCAAAGCTTAATCAATGCTTTTAATGTTCCGGGAAAGAGCAGCGCTACACGGAGGAGTGGGTCAGCATCAAAAGAGAGACTTCCCAGATGTGAAGATGTGCCCCAGACAGTGCAAGAAGTGGGCAGAGTGAAGGGAACAAGTTGCGCATGTTGATGTGAAACACACACACACACACACACACTCATACACACAGTGAATATCTGCATGATAGAGTCACATTTTCTTAAAGTTTTCAGGCTTGAAGAAACAGAACGAGGAAGAATCTTCGGAGCCCTGATGCTGCAAATCAAATTGTGACTTTCTAATTTTAACAGCAGCTGACAGAGAATCCAAAGGAAATCTAATTAACAGATAACGAGGACAACCGAACCCTTTTTTCTTTCATAACCTTTTTTTCCACTCTGCGCAATCCTAACAAACCCTTAAGTATACACATGCATTCACGTTCTTGGTGCGGAAGCCTATTAGGTCCCAGAACAAACAATGTCACTGCCCTCCCGAGGCCACAATGTGGAAGCGTAAACATTCTTCAAAGGGAGGCTCAGGCACACGTGCTGATTCTTCACTAATTACAAGATGCACATTGAAACTCAGTTACTCAAGTTCGATTCCACTTATTCAAATCCTTCTTGCACCTGTTCTGGTCCATCTGAATGTCATCAGTGGACATCGTTGTGACACTGCCTCTAATGGGCCAAAAGGATTGATGTGTTTGTGGTTGAATTCTGTTATTACCCACCCATATCTAACCAAGTACTACCGAAATCAGATCCGGCACAAAAACAAAACAACGTCTAATGTTGGATTCTGTTTTGTTTTTTTTCAATAGAGGAAAGGAGGGAAATCAGCCCCACCACCCACAACCCAGTTGAGTAATTACTGTTGAGGATGCTTTTCACTGAGGAAGCCTTTGTAAAAGGGAAATGACTGCTTTTGGTTTCAGGTCCTCTTATGAGACATTTGCAAAGAAATGTTTGCGGTGGAATGACTAACTGGCAGTGGCCAGAGACGATTGATGAACAACTCCCCCACATCCCATGATGCTGAGCTCATAAAAACAGCGAAAGAGTAAAGAAATATTCACGCTAACTTTGGCGACATCGCTCACACACTTCTGCGAGGCACAATCCACTGTACCTGAGCAGAGTTCTGGAGAGAGAGTGGTGTTTCCTGATGCTGCGCCGTGCAGCCCTCTGCCCCTTAATGGGCACAGTGTTAATCCGCTCAAAGTGCACTCTTCTGCTGCTGTGACCAGGCAGAGTAGGGCCAGAAGGTGGCGAGAGGGGACAGGGGAGAAAAGAGAAAAACAAACAGGAAGTGAAAAGGAAAAATGCAGTGGAACAGCTTAACATGCAAAGAGAGAAAAGAAGGCAGCTGGTTAAAGAGTTTTGCTTAGGTTAAGAGTTAATACCAGACGCATGGCTTAAAGATGTTAATTACAAAGAATCCCCAAAAGCTTTATTTTACAAGAATCTCAAAAGTATGTCCTGCTTATAAAAGATCAGATGAAATGGCATTATTTTCAAACCCAAGGCGCTTACTGTACCCAACTGGATTTTAACAACACGATTGCAAGTGTGCATTTTTTTTAATGAAGACATTTATGTCGTGGGAGAATCTGTATGACGCCTGCACGTGAAGATAGCGGTTTGCTGGGTCCCCGTACCTTTTTATGGTCTGTGTAATGGATGACTGTCGTTGTAACACAGGCCGCCGGGTGTCAAACAGGTCACGCGGCGGAGACTGAAGGTGAGAGGTCTCCACCGGCATGCTGATACTGCGCAGGAACCCCTGCCTCTTCACAGGCTGAACGGGAGAGAATGCATTAAAAAAAAAGTATGAAAAAACAAACTCGAAGACAAACGTGATAAATATTGACCGAGGCATGCGGCGATAGAGATAGAGCACCTGAACAAAAGTACAAGGCTCATCTAGCGACATCTGAGCCGTGGGAATGTCCAGCCGGAGCCATGGAGGTTTCTTCCTCTGAAGGCTGCTGGTGCTCTCCCGCCGTGTTTCAGCCATGTTCTCTGTCCCAGCCCTGGCCTGCCAGCTACACGCATGGAGAAGGACAGATCTGATTATTCATTTCAATATTAGAACATCAACATTTCAATTTAATCTTAGTGAATCCCCCCCAAAAAAATCAAAACTGGAACTCTGATTTTCTGCTAAGGCTCCTCATTTGATTCAAACGTGGGTGTTGACATATTTGCGGCTTGCTAAAGCTCTTTTCTACTTGTCCCCCCCAAAAAAGCAGATAAAAATCACAGTGTCGTGGTGGAAAAATGAGGAAGTTGGCTGTCTTAAACATAATCCTTTCATTTTCCACTTAAAATCAAGCATAATCCCTCCTTGTCGTTTAAAGTAGCTTTGCTTCCAGCAGACATCCACCAGAGACTAATGAGTGTGTACGCGTTCCCGTGACGGGGCCTGTGGGCCACAGGAGGTGCACAGTAAACCTCAGCATCAGACAGTCTGCCGGGAGCTGCAGCCTTGTTAGCATCGGCCCTACATTTTATTGCCCCACCATCCAACCTCCCTTCTGCGGGTTTGTTTGTTGCCCTTCTCTGGATTGCAATAATTCTGTTTGAAAACTAAATTAGTCTCCCTCTTAACAGCTCATATTGCGCTTATTGCAAACCACAAAAAGTCATTTACTGTTGATCCAATAATTGTTTCACAAAGCAGTCAGAGAAAATAAACATTTCAAACTGTGAATGAGGGTGCATGTGAGATTTTCAGCCGTGCAAATAAAGATTAAAAAAATGTCTATCTCACCCACTTGTTCAATGTTTTACTAATATATTCCTAGTCAGAAATGTCTCAGCATTATCATTACGTATATGATCACATCAAAAGTTTCCACCCTCTTCACAGCCGCTATTCCAGCTCCAGTTGTATGAGAAAAAAAAAAGGGCTGTGGCTTTTAGGGACCACATCTGTTTCACATTGGCATTTTAATACACCACAGGCTTCTGTTTTAGCCCACGTGATGATGGGAAGTGCTCTCAGTGAATCTCACCAGAGACGAAGGGAACACTTCACACAAAGGGCAGAACCCGGGTCATCACCAGTGTGTTAACAATTGAACACGGTCTAGGTGTTAAATCTGCCTACAGATTCATTACGCTACAGGGACACACATCTTCTTAAAGATATCATAAGCTGATACTTCTGCAAAAGTACAATGATAGAGACACCAAGAAAAAGCTGAAAAGCTTGTTGAAATATATCAAACAAAACAAAGTCTACCTTAAGTTGTTTTAGTTCCAACGTATTTGATTTAAGTGTTTGTCATATTTGCCTTGTGCTCATACTTGGCATTGATTATGAAAGCTGTGCAACCTTCACTGACCTTGTCTTGAGCGCAACAATGAATAATTCCTGAACTAAAGCGAAACAGAGACGGAGTCAGATGCACAAAAACTTTCCAGAGTTGGGGAAATATGAAAGATGAGTGAATGAGGGCATGCAGCCAGCGCAGATTTTAGATTATTCATCCTTTTCATTCGAGCCACTTCATTTCTCAACAGTCTTGTCACATACATACATTCTGGTAATGTGAAGTTATTTGTATATATTATAAAAAAAAAATGTTTTTAAAATTGAAGTGCAGGCCACATAGAAACCTAGCAACAGCTTCTAATATCAGGAAAATACAATGCAACACCAGCATCTCAGCTTATACGGGGCTAGTTGTTGAAACAACATCGTTCAATCTTGCTCCAGGCTGGAATACATAATATTTGATTACTTTTCCCATTAATTCAAACAGCAGGGTATCTGGTTTAAGCTGATCAGTGAAGGAGAGGGAGCATCTGCTTAAGAGTTTCAGAATGCTGGCACTGAAGCAGTGAGCAAAGGGAAGTGGCATTTTGTCACGCTTGACCTTTGGTTACGTTGAATAGCATGTTGATGGCTGACACACATTGTTTTAAGGTTTTATCAGTGAGTGTTCAAAATTCTGTGCTGAAAGATTAACACAGCCATTCGACCACTACCCACTGGCCAGTTGACCAGAGCATTATAAGAACATTTGGTCACAGACCAAACTAAACCTCAAGAGTTCCAAAGAGCAAAGCCAAGCGACTTGGAAGTCTATCTACTTCTTACTCTCTTGTCTGTTTCCAAAGTCAACACGGCAGTGAAACTGGCATCGAGCTGCAACTCGTGTCTGAGGAGGAGTCTAGCTGAAACAGTTGGCATAGTCCTTTTTTCGAAAGCCAGCACAAATGTGACTAGCGTTTTGTGCATTTCTCCAAGGGAAAAATTTCAATCTTAGAACCTGAGAAAACGGCCCCTTTCAGAGAAAAAAAAACAACACAATTATAGACAGGGAGCCCTTCAAAAGGCAGATTTCGACAGGGGAAAAAGTATTCAATAATTTTTTTTTTATTATTGTCCAGGAGGATTAGCTTTTGTCCTCTATGAAAGGACAAAAAAAATGTGCAGGGTTAGTGATTTAAGATGATACTATTCAAACTATTCCACCTGCCCACTGCTGAGATAACACACTCGATGTTTTAACTTACCCTCAAGGTGGCTGTGCATTTTTTTCTGGTGTGTAGCTACATTTCGAAATGCGTAATTGTTTCCCACGGTGTTTACATTCCCTGTGCTGATTTGAGGCTCACACACTCGGGCCCGAAACGATTTTATCTATTTTCTCAAAAAGCTTTGTTTTGGCTTCAAGATTCCACATCTAAAAGAGGGGAAAACACCCACATCCATAACTTGACATTACCCCGTGCTAGACTGGCTTCCGGTTCTGTGTAAGAAACTAATACTTCCCACTCAATCACAAGACCCACAACAACCCTGCTTAGATTGTTTTTCATTCTGGGGCTGACTCTGCCTGCCCATAATGCATTAGACAGCAGAGCACAGACAAGCAGAGTAAAACTCAGAGTTGTATGCAGGTGCAGGGATGCCCAGTGGACCAAAATGACTGGATTTGACAGACATAAACACAACTCTTATTTTTGTGTCTGGGGAGCTTCAATCATTGGCATTCTGTTCTGCATATCAACTCAGGTTTTCAAACCTCCGGTGCCATGTTTGTATATAATCATTTAGTAAATGGCCTGGAGCCATGCAGCGAAAGACATTAGCTTATGACAACGGAGGTCCAGCTGTCACAGGTGAAGCTTAAAGCCAATGCGAAAATAAGTTCAGTTTATGGAGCTGTACTTGTCACCTTGAACACTTTAGAGATAGAAAAGCTTAGCGTGGATGGGAGACGATGCGAGGCTTTGATTTGCGTTTGTTCAGTGTCTGCAAAAACAGACAGTTTTTTCACTCTGCTCTCACGCTCCAGCATTTGTTGAAGCTTACAAGAAAGCATCAGTCTTTCACATTCAGCATGAATAAAATATTGATATGGCAGTGTTGTGTTTGATCTATTTCTACATTTTTGTTGAAGGCTCATTCGAAACTCTTAAGCCCACATAAGACTAGAAAGCTAAAATGATGGTCACTGGGATTTCTGTTAGCATAATTTATGCATTACCTAAGTGTGCATGACCTTACCTTATTTATGTTGTAAAAAAATAATTAATGAGTGAGTGAGTTAGTCCAAGGATTAATTAGAAAATTCTTGAAATCCTCTCTGTCCAAGGCCATTTATAATCACAGTGCGTGCCCAACCCACATTCCACAAGATCTCTGAGTGAAACAGAACCACGCTGAAATGGCAGAGCTGGAAACCACATGTAGTCTAACCATTTTGGATGGGAGCTGGCGGGTTTCCGGGCACTCTGAGTCCTCTGCAGCTATGCGTTTCCCCACATGAGCAGGAATACAGTAAGGAAAGCCACACTTTGGGCGACCAACAGAGCCCACAGTGTCAAAGCAAATACAGCCCTGCTTGCTAGCAGATGGCATTGTTGAACCAAGTTGGACAGTGGAAAAGGAAAGAACCCTGCCCAGCACAGGCTGGCTGGATCGATATGTTAATCTAGGAGCTGTGAAGTCTGGGAAGCCTTTATTTGTGAGAACTGCAGCACCTCCTCTCTTCAGCTCTTCTTTCCTGATTTCATTGTTCAAATCTCAAATTAGTGCTTTCGTCTTACCTGCTCTATCATTTTTCTGAATGTGTATTAGCAAGTTATTCCATGGTATGTTTATTACAGATTAAATGCTATGGCACAAACTGGCTTTTGTGGGTTTTCCACATACTCCAACAGTTACTCATTTACTAAAAATGCTTCTACTACTCATTGTTCCTTAGGTCACTATCTACGCTGGAGGCAAGGCTTAGCATTGAAAACAATGGAGGGAAGCTGCGCTCCCAAAATTTCTGTTTCACTGGAGCAACAAGAAAAGCAGAGGACGTGGAAAACTAACTTTAAGTTACTACTGAGTTACAACTATTTAATTTCAAAATAAGGATCACAAATCAATTAAAATAGATATTTATTCCCATGAATGGTTTGAAGTGCCCCTCTACAGCGTTGTAGTTGTGAGATTTCGACAAGCCTCTCAGGCTCATCTGCATTTTAATAGAAGGAGAAGGCTTCAGATCTTTATATAGCACATTGTGCCTCCGACTGCTGTGAATTAAGATGCTGATGAAACAAAAAGCAACGGATATTTCTCTCAGGTGATGATAACAGATGAGCAAAAAGCAGAGCCAAAATTAATGCCAAGAAACTTTTCAGATTGTAGTTGTTCAGTTGAAAACGGAATACCGAATATCGATTTGTCCAGATCAAAACAGAAGCATTTTTAATGTAAGTGTATCACTTCTTTACTAGCCACTCTTCCAGCTATCAGAGCACTATGACTCGATTCTTCCAAATGAAATACATACTGAACCTAAATGAAAATTTCAAACCTCCATCTTTCTATCTTATTAAGGGGTAAAAAAGACACAGTTGCAGGCTAAATTAAAGCAGAACTGAGCACCAGTAAAAACTGCAGTCATCCGAATCGACCCTGATGACTTGTGACAGTCTGTCACACCAAACCAGCACTTACGACATTAAAGAAAACACACATAGAGACAGCAGAAATATCCGTCGCAGCTGACCCTGAGATCAAGTGTCACAG